CAGAATGACATAGTATGGTCTTTATGACTTTTTCAAACTGAAGAGGGTACATGCATTGCATTGCTCATACTTGTAGAGAAAAAAATAGAAGATAATTCATTATTCAGTATTGTCAAAATTTGACAGAGACCATCAATAAGAAAGACATAACATAGATATTGTTCCAAAAGAAATAATGGAAATATTCCCCTTTGGCCACAAATATTCAAAATGGGATGCATCTACTGAGCATCGCAAAAATGAATTAGCTTAAAATGACAGAACTAATTCATAATTTTTTTATGGATAAGGTTATTTGTAAAGAAACATTTTATAAAGGGGTCCTCCCGTGATTTGTTCTCCCCTTTCGAATGAATATAAAAGAAGTAGAAAGACAATAGTTGTATTTTTCAAACTTTCAAAGGCTGCAGCACCCAGTTTCTGTAATGCCACGGAGACTGCTGCATTAGTCTACATCTTAAAGCCATTTACTAAAATGTATTCTTTATTGACAAGGTACACAAAAATAGTAAACTAGGGAGGTTCCTGTAGAACTATTTTTGCTGCCAGCAATTACAAAACCATCTGCTCTATAGCTTTAATTGATGATCTCAGCATACACCAAAATAGGTTCCACATTACCAGACTACCATGCATATACTGACTTTATCCAACCAATGAAGCAAAAGATGAAAAGAGGTAACTACTCAATCTTGATATGACATCAGATAAGAGGCTAAAACTAATATCTATAGTAGGTCAAATCAGATGTTCTTTCATGCTAATAACCAAACATAATTTACAGCTGATATTGAGAAAATCTGGTGCAAATTGCCTATAACACATGATATTTAACTAAAAGAGCAATTTGTAATTTGCCTGTCTGATTCCAATGTTGAACTTAACAGTCTACCAGCTTATAGGACAAGCATGAAGTATGATATGTTCCTATGATATCAAATCAATATTCTATGAAGAATGATACACTAAGGTCCCAAGTCGAGCATAATCCAAATATTATATTAGTTATTATCATGATTTTTAAGGTCTGTAGAATTTGATTATTCAAATTCAAGAGAGACTTGGGATAAGTACAGGTTGGGGAATGTTCATACTGTTTAGATATACATTGGATATGTTCTGACTCCAGACCTGACTGTCTAACAATTTCCTAATTGGCAGTCTATGTTAGATAAGTAATCAGACTGTATTGAATTCAGTAGGGAACCAGACACCATACATGTAATGTAACGCTAGAACTCATGTGTAAACTAAATGAAATCTTATCAAAATTACCTAATTGTATGACTTGATGGGTTTAAACTAGTTTGACTTCCATTCTTTAAACAAGGCATAGCATGCAAAATGTCACCACCTGCCATTTGTTACAGATGCTGACCACCAAACACTACTAAACACCAACTGCCAAATACTGAACACAAACCACCAAACATGGTCCACAAAACAGTCGGAGACTATATCAATATGTCTGGTAGTGACAATGGGAGATAATCCTATGATCTATCCTTATGTAAGACTATCAAATAGAGCTAACTAATCAGATTAGTAGTCAAAGAAGTTCACGTTACTCAAAAAGAATGGAAATTCTTTCAAGATTTGATGATTACACAAAAGAAATATCATTGATAATTCAAGTCAGATATTGTTATGATTTTCCCAAATTTTGGGGTATTTATTGATGACATTAAGAGGTCAAGCTACTTCAAACACCCTGGTTATAAAATGCTTATTAAACATCATATATACTCTAGAATATACCAACTAAACCATTAAGAAATATAGACCAAGTATTTACGATATGCATATTTACAAATGAAGTCATTCACCATTTATTTTGCTTAGTTAGAAATGAATTTTGGAGTAGTATAACAATATCAGTATATATCTCTATTAAGTAGAATAAAAATAAGTCACATTGATCACAGGAATATTTAATAATAAATATTTAAGTAATATAAAATACAGAGATTAACCCTACTTATGACATATTGGATTTTGAAAGTTGAAAAGAGGTCAGAATTTTTGCCAGATTTTGGTCGTCTAACACCATTTGGAAACTCTATTCTACATCAAAAACTTTTGTTCTTTGACAGTAAGCTGAAATGGTAGATCCCTATATAGGCTTATAGCTCGGATTTCTCTTAGTCAATGGTTCCTGTTTGCTATCAAAACCGCCATGAGTAATAACAACATATATATTAATCTTATTGACTTTAATTCTTATATCAATCTATACATAAGACTGTGGATTCATTGATTAACCTGGCGATTCTAAACAAACATTCATAATTTTTCTGTGACTGAATACCTTACTCCTTACACAATATATGAAATAACAGAGCTTTATACACAAATTCGTTATCTACTTGGGTATTACTGTTTCCAAGGCTAGTAAACTTTCCTAATTGACTAAACAGTTGATCTCATACTCTGATTGTTGTCATGCCAGTTCAATCCAATAAAAAGTACAAGAATAAATAAAATCACATTGTGAGGTATAACTGAAGGATTTATATGAATGGGGAATAATTCAAATATAGTACACTGTATATAGTAAATGCAATAGAAAATTGAACAACTGTAAAGGTTTCATATCACAAAAATTATATTTTGTAGTTTCAGGCTAGAGCTCTGATGGCACTTTAACATGTTTAAAGGATTCAATGGTTCTACCTCTCTTCACTTTCATGGTTAATGTTGAAAAATATATTTCCATTTTTGCCACAGAAGGGGTATATACAGGGTCTTATAATTTTCTGGTTAGAGCCCTATAACACCTTACATACAACATACCTTCTTTTCAACTTATGAATATAACATTTTTTTACAATTTATAATTTATCAAATAACTTGATCTATTGTTTGTATAAATTACATTTTGCAAGTCTCTTACATAATCTTAATGTGCCATAATCGTAAAGTGATGCATCAGCATTTTTCAATAGTAAAGATTCATGCACATCGCGATGTACATCGGGAATAGTCTGACCAAATTTACCACCATTATAAAATAAATAAGATTCTGAATGCAACAAATAAATACAATACTAGAGTCCATTTCACTGCTTCATTTCGTCAGAAGAACGGCAAAAATAAGAAATTGGGAGACCATTGTGCAATAATATATGGAAAAGTATATTCATAATATACATGAATGACATTTGTATATCTTGGATTGCTTCTAGTTTGGCTTATAAAGTGCGTGGCCTCTTATATTTGGATGTTTCTCTGCAATGTTATTTTCAATAAGATTAACATGGCTGAAATTCTTCAAATTACAAGACGGCACAGGCTTAATGCACAAAAAACTAAAAAATCTGAAATATACAAATGTCATTCATGTACATTATGAATATATTTTTCCATATATTATTGCACAATGGTCTCCCAATTTCTTATTTTTGCTGTTCTACTGACAAAATGAAGCAGTGAAATGGACTCTAGTATGATACTTCCCGTTGGACACATGCGTAAATAAATGTAAAAAATGGAGATTATTGCTTCATTTCAATAAGCTATTAAAGACGTTTTTAAAGTGAAAGCATATCACTATCAGAGAGTATTGGAAGATGAACTAAAGAATAAAAAAGGTATGGCATTTGCATGAAATGAGATAGGAAAATGTGATTTTAGCAGATTTATTTTTTGTAAGAACATTGATGTTTTGTTTCAGACATCGATGAATTGCCAGAATCACTTTTGGCGATGAATATCGCAATGTATCGATTAATCGCGACAACACTAGCGGTCATCATTCTGATACTCATCACAATGTACCTGAAATGTTATATTCCTACTGTCCATTTTACATGGGATCCGAACTCCTATGCATGTTCTCTATTCCTAAGCAATAAGCTTTCATATACAAATTAAAACCGATGGATCTCGGGGAATTTCATTTTTGGAGATTCCGACTAGACTCTGCAAATAGTCTAGCTTGTCGAACAAACAACATGTCAAGGTGCCAATGATTTTTACGGACATGCTTAATCACAACCATATTTATGAGAATCAGATCAGCAATGATGTATATTATGTTAGTATGTGAAATTAAGGTTCAGCTGGAAAGTAACATTTTGGTAAAAAATTGCTATAGCTGCACATGTTATTTTCTGGTACAAAATTAAGTATGACGTCATGTGTGTATTTCCTTGCTTTTTTCAGGAAAGTATCATTACACTGTTTACTTTTAGCATATCTGGAAACAGGTCAATGGAAGCTTTTGTGTTGTCTGGAAACTTTGAAAGAAAATTTGGAAAAATAGAAAGTGTGAAATATCAGAATTTCCTGGAGTTCCCATTGAACCCCTAGACTGTATCCTTCGTCTGAATAAATATTATATTCGGTCTGTTGGATACATACTAATTGAACCCCTACCAGATACTCTAAAAGAAGACAATGTAATGATACTTTCCTGAAAAAAGCAAGGAAATTGACACATGCCTTCATACTTTATTTTGTACCAGAAAATAACATGTGCAGGTATAGCAATTTTTTACCAAAATGTTACTTTCCAGCTGTACCTTAACAGCTGGAAAGTAACATTTTGGTAAAAAATTGCTATACCTGCACATGTTATTTTCTGGTACAAAATAAAGTATGAAGGCATGTATCAATTTCCTTGCTTTTTTCAGGAAAGTATCATTACATTGTCTTCTTTTAGAATATCTGGTAGGCGTTCAAAGGGAACTCCGGGGAATTCTGATATTTCGCACTTCCTGTTTTTCCAAATTTTCTTTCAAAGTTTCCAGACAACACAGGAGCTACCATTGACCTGTTTCCAGGTTTACTAAAAGTAGACAGTGTAATGATACTTTCCTGAAAAAAGCAAGGAAATACACACATGCCTTCATACTTAATTATGTACCAGAAAATAACATGTGCAGGTATAGCAATTTTTACCAAAATGTTACTTTCCAGCTGAACCTTAATCTGAGAAAATTATGAATTTTTCAAAATTTAAAATTGAACACATGTTTTATAAATGTCTAAATACTCACCTAATATCGAGATCAGAGACACCAAACCTCAGCTTGTGAGTGGTAAATGATTCAACCTTCACTCAAACAATTCTTGGCCGATTTTGAGAAATAATATTATTGTTATAACGAAAACTTTGCAATGTAAAATTCTTGAATTCTAATAACACTCTCGTCCGGTTTGAGCGATCACGTGACCTTGCCTGCTATTCCATTCACCCTCCCTAAATATACAATTAGTTTGTTGTGACATCTATAAATAGCTTGAGAAACTATTACTACACAATGTGAACAAACATGGCTATTGGACCTTGATTATGCCTAATGCACATTATTTATTTGAGTCTAATTGGTATAATTAGATTCTCATCGTGAAAATATCTTATAAGTGATATGGTTCTTAACGACAGACTCCGGGAAAGTTACAATACTTCACTAATGAAAGCGAAAGTGAAAGTAGAACTCTCCTGTAAATTTTCCCAGAATGCATTGTAATCGCCATTTTTGCTAGGGAAGCCAAGAAAATAAAAATTTGTAACTTTAAACGTATGATTCTGCTGTATTATGACAGTCTGTTCTATCAAGTTTTGCTCACGTATTGTTTGAGTTAGGGAGAACAAGGTCTTCGAAACTATGCGACATCACGTTGCTTAGTTTGTCTACAGTCAACAGAACTATTCGTGTCGTCAGGTGAGTTTTTTTCATTTCTGATTTCATGATCAGTCAGTGATCATTGACCTAAAAAACAAAGATCTTTGTGCCCTGAAGTCTAGTAGTTTTGTCAAGATATGTATACGTACTAGAAAGTATATACTGCTTGTGGACTCCCTATTGAAAGGTTGAATCCTCATTGAACTTGATTTATGGAGACCTAAGGGTGTAACGTCGACGTGTGGGGTAATGTTGACATGAGAGATGGGGCAACTTCGACACTTACTATTTAGAAGTAGAATTTCTGTTTTCCGCCATGTTTGATATCTGGAAAAATTAAAATCCCGCGATCTATCCCATGGCTTCCCCCTAGATCAGAAATTAGAGCAAATAAACAACAAGGTGTCGAAGTTACCCCACATGTCAAAGTTAACCCAAAATGGTATCGACGTTACACTCCTTCACCCTAACCCATGGATAGTGGGAAGTCCTCCATCTAGGAGGTATATACACCAGGTTATGCGACTAAAAATTAAAAAAATATGAAAAAATATGGTCACCTGTCCTCTAGATTCAATTTTTGAATGAATCGTAGCATAATGTAATGTTCTTAACCATTGAAATCTATATTTTGCATTGTTTCATTTGTTGACAACTTCTTTCTCAGAAGACAATTTTGACCACACAGTTTGAAACAGTCTGGACAAATTTCTTTTCACACTCGACATTTGTCTGTTGTCTGGTGCTTATTTCCCACACTGCAATTCTCGTGAGTAAAATTTCTCCAGGCTATTGAAAGGTCCGCTCAGTAAATTGACAATTTCTACTGCACATGTGTCATGACCTACTTCAGGTTGTGAAACACTGGACGAAATGGTTTGGTAAATTTCAAGCTATTTGATTTCCGGCATTTTTGGCATCATAAAGTAATTCTCGAAGAAGAGTTGTCTTAGCAGTTCCTGCTTGACCTACAATGCAAACATTATGACCAGCGGCAACTAAATCCTTGACATTTTCCCGTGGTAAATTCACAAACTGAGCCATGTTTTAGGGTACCGTTGTGCGCATGCACGCCTTTGCGTGATTTGCTTTATTCTCGCGAGATAAGGCACTCCGTGCCCTTAAATTTTTATTTTGAACAACCATTGTGATTTGGTGCATTATCTAACCAATAAAGCAGATTTGGAGGTATGAATATTTTTTTTATTTTTATTTTTCTGTTTAGTGTTTTTTACTAATTACTAACTAATTATGTGTCTCAGCAGAGGGGGAGAAACACCAGGGTTCAAAGATGACATACGCTTATAATGTAAATCTGTATTGAGATGACATCGTCGCTGATTGGTCAAAAGTCGACAAACAAATGACGTCATCAATGGCGGCTTCAAAATTTTCGAAATACGCTTCGAATAATATTATGTTCATTTCTGGCGTGTTAACCAATATCATAGCTTCTCATTTCACATCAATATAAAGAAAGGTGTATGGAATATGCCTATATCAATTAAAACATCCCATCGAAGTGTAGTATTTGAAAACTAGCCGATGAAAATTCGAACGAACGAAGGTGGTAAGCAAGAGAGGTAATTATGTATGTCATCTTTAAACTCTGGGGCGTTCCCTCCTCTTGTGTCTCAGGATATTTGTTTAAAAATGAAAACTAGACAAATAATTTATTTTAGAAATACATATTTTTTATTTTGGATGGAAACTGCGTTACCTGACAAATAATATAAGTAATATATGGAGGATTTCCCATAACCGTGCCCTAACCCCATAAATGTTTGACTATGATACGGCAAACCTCACCCACAGCTGAAACCTATTCCAAATTGTGTAGTTGGATACCTTGATGAATTGAAGATGAAAGTCAGGACTATTTTAAGCAGTTTGCCTACCTATTCTCTTGTTTTCTTTGACAAAACACTTTTACCAATGTAGTAAGAGATTGATAACTGGAAACAATGCTTCATATGCCTTTTTCTGCATTTCTGGATCTTGAAATTTTTCATATTGTCTACCGTTTTGTTTTCATTGGATACTTTGATGAATTGAAGATGAAAATCAGGTCTTATCAGCATTTTCCTTACCAATTCTCTTGTTTTCTTTTACAAAACACTTTTCCCAATGTAATAGTGATTGAATATTATTCATATTAGCAATTATTCAGCATTTATATCTAGTTCTTGAAATTGTCCACCATCAGGGCCGTAGGGAGAGGGGGTTCTGTCTTATTTGGATATAAGGTCAAAATGGTCCCTAATTTATGATATAAATGAGAGAATGTAAAAGTTCAGTGATGCAATCTACCTGGTGCACCAAAGTTCTGAACGCTAGAAAACTCTAGTTTTGGTCATTAGTTACCCTTAAAATTGTTTTCTTTCATTAGAACTCAGTTTTTCCTAATTGTTTTGCCTCTGATTTACATTTTGCGAGAAATCGAAAATAGACAATTGAATTACACAACTTATGTTTGAATTGAATTGGGGGGGGGGGGAGTCTGATAATGTCTTTGAGCTTCCAGAGAGTGGTAAAAACATAAAACTTAAAGGGATTTTTAGAGGCCTTTGTTGAAAAAAGTTCTAGATTTTTGCCTATAAATGTTCCTAATGAACGAAATTGGTCAAAAATTGGGATATTTCACTTGTCTTATGATTTTGCTCTTGCTTTTTGGCAGAAAATACAAATTTGGCCAAATTTAAGCAAATTAGGCAGGGATTAAGCAAACTTGAAAACGTTTTCACCAAAGTCACCATTGGGTGGCTCCAAAAAGAATTTGCCGAAAATATTCAAACCCCCTCCTGTCAAATTCTGGCTACACTACTGACCATTTTGTCCAACTACAAGATTTCGAATAGCTGACATTTGTAGGAGAGTTTTGCTATCACTAAATGTCAAAAATAAGAAAAAGGTAAAACTCCCCCACATTCATGGGGTTATGGAGACTGGGTTATGGAGTAACTTCTTCCTATGGCTACTTGGGGTTAATTTTTTATTTCATCCATGGTCGATAAAAAGTCTAAAAAGTCATAACTGCAGTTTTAGTACAAAAAAAACTGTCGCAGAAATATGCTGTATTGGTTACTCTGACTCAATAATTAAAGATTTGATAAGTTCAACTAATTCCAAACATATAGCAAAGTCTAATTAATCACAACAAGGCATTGAACTTGTTTGTGGTCCAAATTGACTGCCTTCTTCAGGAGAAATATTAATAATCTGGTAACTGAAATATTTTTTATCAGTTTTCAGTTTCTAATATGGTGCTTTATCATGTCATGTATAAATTTTGCCAAAATGAGACAATATTACCGCCAGGTTATTTCTATCAAATAAATATTTTTGTTTGATCCCTTTCAAAGGCAGAACGATATTGGAGTTATGGATGTACATATGTCTAATTAAGTTGTTATTGAATATTATTCTACCAGGCAGTGGCTTTTGCATAATATTAATGAAGCCAAGCCAGATAGGATGACATAATGACATTTGTAATTGATTAACATATGTATCTGGACTTAATTCACCTTCTACTTTGGTCGTACCAGATACAAATAATGTCCATGACATAAACACATTTGATGTTTTTCAGAGGAGTAATTTAATCCATAAGCTGATAAAACAAATCTTTCAGAATGGAGATGTATGACACAATCAAAGTGATTGGGAAGGGCAGTTATGGAGAGGTCTGGCTTACCAAACACAAGAAAGACAAGAAAAATGTAAGTACATGTAAATGGACCAGTTAAACCTTTGATAACGGGACACTTTTATTTGAATTAGTTAGAGGTGTTCTCATAGATGTGTTCCTCTTAGAGATGTCTTATCTACAGAAGTGTTCCACTTACCAGATTTAACTGTATACAAATATAGTGATCTCCCCAGCATTAAAGCAAGTGGGCGCAGCACCCACCTGAGATTTTGAAAATAGGCTTGCTCCCACCTGAAAATCTATTTGCACCCACTTGAAAATTAGGAAAATCATGAAAAATGGGTATATTTTGACCAATTTTGGTCTGAATTGTGAAAATGAGAATTTTGCACCCACTTGAGAAAAAAATTCTGTGGAGATCACTAAAATATAGACATAGATTTTTTTCTTTATGTGAGACTGGCATAAATCTTTATGTTGCATCCATTTGCGAGTTTTGAAAAAAAAGTATTTAGTTTTATTAAAGTATATAAAATTTATTTATTATTCATATAACATTTTACATGATGGTATACTATTTTTTCAGTATGTGTTGAAAAAGATGAATTTACGCGATTCATCAAAGCGTGAAAGAAAGGCAGCTGAACAAGAGGCTAAGTTATTATCCAAACTACGTCATCCAAATATAGTCTCCTATAGGGACTCATTTGAGACTGAGGAAGGTTATCTGTATATAGCTATGGGGTTCTGTGAGGGAGGGGATCTGTATAATAGACTGAAAGAACAGAAAGGTACAGCACTTGAGGAGCGACAAGTGGTTGAGTGGTTCGTACAGATAGCAATGGCTCTGCAGGTATGTTAAAATGTTGTTTCACATCAAGTATGTGGCCCTTACCATTTACCTATACTAACTTTACAATCCTGACCCCCATTTTGAAGATAAAAAATATTTTAGGCTGTAATGAGATATTATTTTGTTCTTCAGTAGAACATGAAAATATATTTCATATACATGTAGTTTACAGTATTTGCTTTTTATGATGTTCATGTACATGTGTTTTTCAAACAAGATTTGTGGTTAAATTTTTATTTCTTCATTTTCCAGTATATGCATGAGAGAAACATCTTACACAGAGATTTAAAAACACAAAATATTTTCCTAACCAAGAGCAAAATAATAAAACTCGGAGATCTAGGAATTGCAAGGTATGATAAACTAATGCTGTAAATACTGCATTCAGTTGACATTTTTATTCATGTATTAGTGCTATGCATTATACTAACGTAAATGACAATGAAAAAAGTACTCATTATTTGTCTTATTTTAAAGGTGTTAATGTGTTGTCTTGAATTGTGATCTGTTTATTTCAAATCCAGGCCCGTAGCCAGGGGGGGTTCGCAGGGTTCGGGCGAACCCCCCCTGTCCAAAAATTCTTTCAAAATCATGCAGTTTTTCACCATTTTGAGCACTTTTCAAGTAATTTCAGCCATATTTTGGCCATAATTGTCAAATGTGAACCCCCCCCCCTGGAAATTTTTGAAAACTGAACCCCCCTCGGCAAATCCTGGCTACGGGCCTGAAATCTTTTACATTCGAATTGATGTTGATAAAGTAGTTGATGTAATTTTTCAGGGTGCTAGAGAATTCCAGTGATATGGCCAATACACTAATAGGAACACCATACTACATGAGTCCGGAGCTGTTTTCAAACAAGCCATACAATCACAAGGTACATATTATGTAGAAGTAACTGTCTTATTGAATGATCCAATATCTTATATTTGTGGTGTTCATTCCGGAGAAACAGCCATTTTGCTTTAATAATCCAATGCCCTATGTATTTGATGTGCATTCTGTAGAAATAGTTGTCCTATTGCGACATATTTGTTGAGTAGCTCTGTACTCAGTCTTTGAAACAAGTGCTTCAGCTCTCGACTTTTTTTGCTCAACAAAATTTTATGTATGTACAATTAAAATAACTCTCTATCCGTGTTTTCCAGTCTGATGTATGGGCTTTAGGGTGCTGTGTATATGAGATGGCAACATTAAAACATGCATTCAATGCAAAAGACATGAACTCATTGGTATATAAAATATTAAGGGGCAAGGTAAGCTATTATGTTGTGACAGTGAACTATGAAAAATTGAGTATTTTCCTGTATACTAAACCAGTAAAAGTTTTCAAAAAGTTTTTGAATTCACAATTTTGTAGCAGTCACCTATCTAATAATGGCATAATTTTATCATAGAGCAGCATAATATGTTTTTAAGTTTGAAATATCTACATGTATCTATAATCTAATTGCATGCATGTAAGTTTATGGAATGTGATCTCATTGTCCATTACAGATGCCTACAATGCCAAAACAGTACAGTCCCGAATTACTTAATCTAATCAAAATCATGTTAGACCAAAACCCGAGTAAGAGACCCAGCGTTAATAAGATTCTCAGAGACCCATACATTAAGAAAAATATTGCCATATTTTTGGAAGGAACCAAGAAAAGGTAAGAATTGATGATTCTAGTGACAAAGAAGTGTAGTGTGAAATAGATAGAAAATGGTAAATGTATCAATAAGACGATCTCTTGAAGTAAGAATATTAAATTTTAATTTTCTAATAAAAATATTCTATCATTCTAAATGAATGTAGTATCAGAGATATATCACATAAGGCAGTGAAATATGAACATTGCTGGCATCTTCCATGATATTTTTGATGAAAATGGTAGTTTACGTACCCTTGGTAGTCTTTATCATTCCTGTATTCTAACATTTGGTACATGTTTAAGTCGAAGGCCCTCTAGTGCTGGGAAACGTCCATCATCAGGTGGCACTAGACCTTCCTCAGGCGACTCTCAAAAACGCATCACAGATATCAACTCCAGTCAAGACAGCATAGTGAGCTCTTCAATTGAGGAGGTTTCAGCAGATCAGCGTGATTTGCACACAATAGATGAATCTCCCAAATCGACTGGGGTTGAGGTAAAAAGCAGTGCTGCTCCACCGTCACGTAGAAAGGTATTGCTTCAGTGCACCTTATGTTTTATGAGACACCCCCTTATGTTTCTAGTAATGAGCATTCAAAAATATCATCAGAGAATATCTTGAAATAATAACAAGGGATTGTTTTCCTTCAATAACACTTCCAAATTGAAGCACTTTGATTTGCTTTCACATATACTGTCATGTTGAGAAGAGTTCTATAATATGAGGTGCTCATGAATTATGATATAAGGGGAATGTCTCATTGAAACGATATATGGTGTCAAACAAGGCTCACTTAACAAACTACTCTCAATAGAGCAGTTTGTTAAGTGCTGATTTCCTTGACTTTCGCATAGAATTGATTTGATTCTCCATACTGGCATATATATGTTTTATCATTTGTGTGAGCTTATTTCTTTAACATGATATGTGAGTGTACTTGATAAATTCAGTTTAGCATACACTGTACTTTGTTTATTTATATAGATGTCATTTAAGTGTGGCTTTGTAAGATTTCATGTTTACAATTTTATTCATAATTGGTTCATAATTGAAAGCAGTAACTTTGGCAAAATTTCTATAATAGACAAGTTCTAGTGGATAGTGATGCAAGTTTCGGAGATTAGTTGAGTTGAAACAAAGATCTATGTCAGATCATATTGTTGCTACATTCTTAGATAAACAGATCTATTTTGCCTCCCACTTACATAATATTTTATACTTCCCTCTAGTGGTGTCAATTAACCGCTTGAGCATTAACCGGTTAACCGGGGGTTTTTACCGGTTAAAGTCGGTTAACCGGCGGGAAATTTGAACTTATAATTTCAAATGAAATCTTCATCTTCGATCTTGAAAGTTGAAAAAATTGGAAAAATGATATATCGGCGTTTATTTTTTACGTTCGTCAAGCTTTAATTACGCTATTCTATGTTAGTAAGCGCGGGAAAGCAATGTGGCAGGGATTAAAGTTGCTGATTGGATGTTTGTAAGGAATTATCTGACCTATCACATGTATGAGTAGCTCACATGAAACTGACGCTTGAAAAACAAACAGATTAAAATGCAAAGTAAGCGCGGGAAAGCAATGTGGCAGGGATTAAAGTTGCTGATTGGATGTTTGTAAGGAGTTATGGGACTTATGACATGTATGAGTAGCTTACGCGAAACTGACACCATAAAACCAAACGGATTAGCATGCAAAATAAGCGCGGGAAATAACAGAATTATACACGGTCAACTAACTGCCCATAAAAACTCAGACCGGTCAAGGCATTATCGGCGGTTAACCGGTTAACCGGTTAATACTTGACACCTCTACTTTCCTCTACGAATATCAAAATTAGTTGTAATTATTATTTTTATTATATCGACATAAAACAACTAGTGATTATCGAGACAGTAATGTACTTTTTTTGTGTTTTATTTTGTATTTAGATTTTTTATTTTAAAAGATTGAATATCATCAAAATAAGCATTTTATTGATATCCTTATTCCCTTGGTGTAATGAAAACTGATATTTCTTTGATAAAAACTTATGTATATAAAAATATTGTTAAATCCAGCTTAAACTGATACCTTGTAAGTCGACAAACATTTTGTTCGTAATTTTATTCAGGAGCGTCCAGTACCAAGTGGTGAAGACAAACAAAAACTAAGGAAAAAGAAGACCGATGAATCAGATGGTCATGAGAGACATTCCAAAAATCTAAAAGTAAGTAGTTTAAACTTGACTCCAAAGACCCCGTATACTGTAATGATATGAAGAAAAATTTACATTTACATTCAAATGTGACATTTTGATCTCTAGACTCGATGACAGGGAAGAACACTTTCTTAAAAAATGAATTATTTTAGGTTAAATCAGTAGACAAGCCCCGTCCTCTCCCACCTAGACCTAACAGTGGAACCCCCCAAGAAAACTTTATAAAAATGCATTTTTTAGGTTAAATCAGTAGACAAGCCCCGTCCTCTCCCACCTCGACCTAAAAGTGGGCCCCCTAAGAAGACTTTATAAAAATGCATTTTTAGGTTAAATCAGTAGACAAGCCCCGTCCTCTCCCACCTCGACCTAACAGTGGGACCCCTAAGAAGACTTTATAAAAATGCATTTTTTAGGTTAAATCAGTAGACAAGCCCCGTCCTCTCCCACCTCGACCTAACAGTGGGACCCCCAAGAAGCGTCCAGGCAGTGGTAGACAATCCTCAGAGAGTGCCTATAGCAGCAGTTCAACATCAATCTCAAGCTCTCAGGACAATAACAGTACACCAGACAGTGAAACACCAAGGGTAGGTTAAATACTGCAAGGGGATTTACCAATCCTTAAAATAATTGCATATGTGTAAGGACTAAGGAATTTAAATTTTTACTTACTGTTGACATAAATTTCTGAATTACTGGACATGAAGGTCAAATCAATTTAACAGGTTGATAAACATATTTTATACACATGTTTTTGTTGCCAAGGACCTTATCCCAATGAACAAAGTTTGTTTGGAATAAATATTGATCATTTTGTGAAAATGACTAATATAACATAATAAAGATAGCAGAATAACAAGACCTTTCCCCCAATCGGAATAGATGGCCCTCGGCTCACCTTTGGGTTTTAGGATGTCTTGTCTGTCAAAAATTATATCATCCTTCACATCATCACATAGCTTGTACTTAAACAATAAAGATCATTAAATTTTTCCATGAAACATTAATTTTTATTTTTTGTAGAATTACAACAAAATAGTACATTAAAGATACTTGTAAATGAAAGTTATGTCTCATACGCGTAAAATAGTTTTCCAAATGCTCAAACAATTTTGAATTGATAAAGACAAAATAGTATACACTGCAAGTGCATATAAACAGTAAATGTAACTGTACCTCTCTGGCTTGGGTACCTCATTTATCTAAAATATCTGACCATTTTAATGTAGATATTGACATGTGAAAATAATATTCTCTCATCTTTTAACAGGTGAGCTCAGCCAGAGCGAGGAGGCGGGAACAGAAGATGCGGGAAAGTACAGAAGAAACCCCAAGGAGCTCTCAAGGTTTGATCTTACAGCATTTTTCTCATCGCCAAATTTTTATGAAGAACTCAGTTTTTTTGTTGTGTCATGAGTTATGATTAGATTGTTCCAGTAATACTATACTCTCCTTTATAACCATACATTCATATCTTACATTATTGATTAATTTTACCACATAAAAGTATACTTATTTATACAGTGAAGCCTGTAAAGTGAAACACCTCTGTCAGTAGAACACTTTTCAAGGTTCTAAAACCAACTGATTTAATGTTAAATGAACCTCTGTAAGTGTAACACATCCTGAATAAAACACTTCAGAGGTACCGAAGGTGTTCCACTTGGACAGGTTTTACTGTATTTCAATTCAAATTAAGGTGGGCTGAGCTGTATATCTTTACCTTGATTTATCCCCCATTTCATATGTATGTATCAATTGTGAATTCTTGAATTTTGTCACTGGCTCTAGCCCTTCTGCTTGTATCATTTAGAGTGCATATAGTTTCACCATCAATAGAAGCAGTATTGGATCCTCCCATATGTACGATGTCAGAATTCATGGGGGCCATCCTTGCTCCATTCTCATGCACATTTGGTGCGCTATTCCTGCTACTAGAACTGTATGTATGAGTTGTTTTACCAATTAAACAACAGCAAAATGCCTCCTTGAATGCATTCCTGTAACGCCTACTGAAGATATTGTAAATGAGCATGTTAATTGCTGAGTTGAAGTATGCCATGAAACGACCAGTTTGGATCCAGACCTTTGGGAGTTTGATGAATGGGATTAGTCCAACCTTGTTCAATCCATAGAGTATATCATCCAGATAGTATGGCAGTAAGGTCAGGTAGAATACTGAGGAGGTTGCAATTAACATAAGTGCAATTTGCCGTTTGCTGTTTGACTTTGTTCTATTTTTCAAGTATTTATTTGAAAGTTTTGCACTTGAATGAAGCGCCTTCAGAATTAAAACATTTAGACCAATTATGGCAAATGCTATGAAAATGAAAGGTATTGTCTGGAGACCATTACACTGTATTGTCAAACTCCCAAAAAATGATATTGGTGCAAGTCCACATTTTCTTATTGTATACTGATGTGTGATCGTATCCTGGATCCAGTTCAGAGTGAATGAGGCCCCATCAATGAAATAAATGCAGGGGATAAGTGCGAACATGGCTATGAACCATGTGATGATGATGTAAACGAGACATCTTTTGTTACTCTGCCTATAGATGGCACCAGTTGATCTTAGTGCCCTACATCGTTCATATGTGAACAGCATTATGGTTCCTTCTGATACCAAATGTGGTAGAAAAATAAACGCAGATAGGATTTTACACGGCCTATGTCCCCATGGTCCATAATCCTTTGCAAATGGTGAAATGCCATATCGTAGAACTTTATCAATAACCACTATATGAAGGTAGATTAGATCTGCTATTGCCAAGTTAACAAGGTAATAATTTGTTGCGTTATGCATATGCTTAAGTTTAATCACAACATAGATGAATGCGGAATTGCAAATCACCCCCATGCCAAGAATAATTGGCATAGCGATAGTCAAAATAGGTATTGATGCCGGGTCATAAAAATATTTTTCAGGATCTTTTAGAAATACGGTAAAAGGATTGCTTGTCCCTGCTGTTGTGTTCACTGTTTCCACTACATTTGTTGATGATTGAGTTGCCATATTCATGTGCGATAATGTGCCATTGTGCATCATTCGTCTGATGACATTTGTTCCAGTTATACTGTCATTTGTTGTGTGATGTATATTATAGTTGCATCAGTTATGTTGACATCATTTATATCAGATTTCGTTTTCTTGAAATTAAATGACTCATATATATTATTTTCTACAGTCTGTGATCAAATAATCGCCAAGGGTATAGGATCATTAGTCTCTGTGTTTGAAGAACTGTCATAAATTCAAGATTTAGTATACATGAGAAGAATTATCACCATACTCTAGAATTTCATCTGGAAAACATGATTATATTACAAATTCTTATTTGATATCCTTTGATATCGTAAACTATATGTTTGTTTATATCATGAAAAATGCAAATTATTTTAAGTGTTTTCCGATCAATAAAGGCCATATTTCCTTTTGTTATTTCTATGACTCTATTAGATTTGTACTTTTAGTAAATTAAACAGATGGAACAAATTGTTTGAATCATGCTGTACCACCATTAATCTTGTTGCCATAGCAATAACATCATTTCAAAGTCTTCTAAACTAGTGCTAATACCCCGGGAACAGGCCTCCCAAGATGATGATAATCATATTTTCATCTCTATATTAAAGGCAAAAGATATCAGAAACTGCATGTTGGATATTAAGAAAACAAACATACAATTAAAGTTCAAAGAAATCAACAAATCCAACTCTCATGAAAAATACAGTCAAACAATAAACTAATTACCTTTATTTTAGTAATATTCTCTCCTCTCCATAAATTGTACCAATGGTTTTTTGTTAGCCCAATGTCATAAAGTTAATGATAATTCCAAGGCCAAATCTTTTTGGATCGGTTCATTTAATGCCATTCCCTTTCAGAAATCTCACGTATTAATGAGCTGAATTGTTTTTCATACATAATGTTGAATCTCTATAAGGAGCTCTTAAACCCTCTTTAGGGAGGAATTCTAATTCCATTAATATGCCAAAATTGCATTCTGATACTCATAGCATCTATCTCTCTTTGTTGCATCAGAAGGATAGAGATGGAGAGGGTGTGGCTTACCACGATGCCAAAATTGCATAAAAGTTCATTCTTGGTGAACCTATTGTATTAACTATACATCGTTATTTTTATAAAAGGATGCATGTATTTAAAGCTTTCAATGATTTAACCTGAATTATTCCAAGTCAATTTGACATCTAAAAAGTGAAAAGTTTGCACAGGTTGGGCCAAAAAATGTCCACATTTTTGATGAAGATGAAAGAATCACTTTTCGTAGATTTTAGATTGACCCTAAAAATGTATTTTTGGGAAATCAGAAAAATATTTTAATTAGAGTTTTGCTTACCAGTTACATTTTCTTGATGGTGAACCGGTCTATATAATCTTCCTTATGGGTCTCAAAACCCTCTTACATGCTCCAATTTTCAATACAAAAATGAATTACACCAATTTAATCACATGCAAATGCGTCTGTGTGAAAAACTGCAGTTAAAACATATCCAAATGGACTCGACATACTCTTTTGCATCAGTGTTTTTCTGAGTGTCGGATACCAATTTTATATACTTTAGAGCACATTAATTTTATGTCACGTATCTCCATAGCAATGAATATGAATATTGAGAGGGAATTGATAGTTGTGATAAAATTAATGGTAGTTAATATGCATATTTTTGAGATAGATTAAGCGATGGGATGATAACTTTATATATCAAACACAGAATTAGGCATAATATAAACAGTATAAATTGCTGATTATTATTGATGTACCAAAAAAATCATCCTACCAATCAAGGTTTGAGTATATAATGATTTGTACAAAGCGAAGCTGTCTATTTATTCTTTAGTCCGTTCATTTTCTCTTTTAAAGGGTTTCGATTAGCTTCCCGTTTAAAAACAATATGGCGACTCAATGGTCACCATTTTTCATAAAAAGGTTGTCAGATTTGTTTCTGGGACTCTGTTAAAAAAATAATTTTCAAGATGGCTGCTGAATTCAAAATGGCTACCACAAAATGTTAATTAATATTATCCAATATGTATTTTCAGTGTTAGAAAGGCGGAGAAAGTCAGCAGATGTGGACCAGGTTGACTCCCACAGAGGTCTACTTAAACCACCAAAGAAAGATGTAGTAAGATCTGCTTCTGACAGTAGACTTCCAGACAATTCAAAGGTAGACATTCCATATTTTTTACTTCTCCTACATCCATTTTTGTTACATTACCATCAAGAAGTAGTGACATATTGCTATGGTCACCATTTTTTGCGACCGACATTCAGTGTCTGTTACAAATTTTAAAACCATTTTTGAATAATCTGCCAGGTAGTGACTGTTTATGTTTAGTATTTATATAGTAGCCTAGCTGGAGAAGAACAAGCCATCCCTCTAATTTTCCTGATAACCTTTTCAATCTCAATATTTTTCATGAAATAATACAGGATTAACTTTAAAGCATTCATAGAATACAAAATATTTTGTTTTTAATGCATTTTATTTTCCAGCAATCAAGGGTTGGCCTGAAGCCTCATCCCCACAGACAGCCCTCTGTAGATGGGGATGACAGCAGTAGTGACAGCTCAGAGAGCAGCATTGAAGATGACAGCAAAAAGAAAAGGTCGGTATGAAAGTGACATCTTAGTAAAACACAAAGATTTGAAATTTTGCACAAAGCTTTTCCTATTAATTTTTGCGATTGTTAATGATAGGGCTCTAATCATTGTTCCTTATTGTCTGATTATATCTGATTCTTGTGTGAGAAAATGGGTTCTTATTTTTGGTGGTAGATACCTAGATTATCTATGAACTAGTTCTCCCTTGATTTACTAAACATTGTACCATGTTTAAGTCATTTTATGTTTTCATGCATTCTTTATCTAGGCACACAACCAAACACAATCTTACATTTCCCTTGTATCTTCATATACAAGGGATCTTATAAATAAAAAGGGGATAAAGGGAATCTTTCTGATTTCCAAGGGGGTCGACGTTTCATTGAAGAAAAATGGCCCAATTCGGTCCAGTTCAGTGGTATAAAAATGATCTAAATTTACAGAGGAATTTTGCCTGTCCTTCAATAAACAGATGAAAACTTGGTATTATCTGAACTAATGGGTATATCCATTTTCAAAGGTCCAACAATACTCTTATTTACACCATCAGTTTCAGCTCTTACTTTTGCCATCTATAGTGTCCCCTATAGTGTCCCCAAATCAGATAGTATCTGTTGCAATTATTGTTAAGAAGTATCAGTTTCAGCTTTTATATTTTCATATTTACAGTTTTCTCTGGGCACTCTTTTCTAAATGCGAAAAGTGGCATTATATGGGTCATAATTTTCCATGATAGGTTTGCAATTTGACCTACTTTAACAATTGGGGCAATTTTGCAACTTAACCTTTTTAAAAAATCCACTGCCCACTGAATGGTCCATTTTTTCTTGCCTGAAATTAATTAACCTATTTTTTAAAAAAATAAACAACTCTGTTGTTTCATTTCATTAATTATGCATGTACTTTACAGTCGTACTTCATGTATATTTAGTGACATTTTTGAAATGAATTGAATTACCATCGAATCATGTAAATGAGTGCTTAGAATAAGAATGGATCAAAATAGCAACACTTCAATCTCTTTATATTGATTGTAACCTACTGGAGCGAATGATTTAGTTGCTTTACTTTCTCTTTTAATATAATTTCACAATATTATTTGAATCCTTGTTTATCATCTTTAAAAGATATTGTTTAGCTACCTTTAAATATCACTGCAACCTGGCTTCTTAATTTTATTGATTTCATTTAAGACTTGATTTCATTATTTAGTAAAATGTCAATATTTGCCTTAGATATAAACCCAGGGTACCCCCAAGGGGAAAGGTTTATCAGTCCAATAAAAAACCACCCCCTGTCCCAACTGCTAGAGTTCCCACCCCTGGCTCTGATAGTGACAGCAGGTAAACATTATATGATGTTTAAGTGCATGCTAGATAGCATTAAAATGTTCTAAGTTACAACTGTTAACATTCTGTTTTTAAAGTAAACTTTTCCAATGGGATAGTTTGCAGTCGTAGTCAATACATGCCTTCATTCAGTCACAAATAAAAGTTTGCAATTGGCGAAGTTATTGTAAAACATTGGCACTATGCCTGCATTCCTTGTGGAGATGATAAAACCTGAGGAATGGAATCTGTTTTTATACGGGGTTGGGAGCTTTACTTTACAGAATGTTAGCAGTGTTCATGATACACCCTTGTGTATAAGCATGATGTTCATTGTTTCTGGCAGTTACAAGTTATCTATATAAAAGGAAATGCCATGGTTTTCTTTAAAATGTGTTTTTACATGTAGCCAACATGAATAATTCATTATGAGAGTGGGGCCATGGGACTTTGAATTATTAATAAGTCTACACCTATGTTCAACTAGATGAACTTAAAAAAGAGACTTCAATTGTCCAATATTTTCCATCCTCCGAACACAGGCCTCCAGAACTCGTACCTCCTCCTTGGAAAAGGGAGGAACATAGTCTTGGATGATGTCTGGAGCCCTTCATTCTGAGGATGAATATTCTCCAACTGTTTCCATAGTCCATTAGAAAGAAAAATGATAAATACTGTATATGAATGGAATATTGATTAATATTCAGGTATAAATTAATGAATATATTATTATTATTAAATAAATCTATCTCAACTTATTATTTGAAAAAGATTTTGCAACAATGGCATTCCTGCTTATTTGGTTGTGCCAACATTTATTGCATGACATATTCTTTATACCCTTCATAATATGCTCATCTAGTTAAAAGCATTTAACTGGATCTTATGACTACGTGTTACAGGTACTTAGGATATTAACATTCAACATCCATTGGTATCCATATAAATGTCATCTATCATACAGTTCCGTGCCTTACTTAAATTATCATCTCAGAGAATGAAATGTAGGGATATAGAGGAGCCTTTCATTCATCTATCCGTTAGTCAGTCAGTATATCCTTCTGTCCAGAGAATAACTCAAATACTAGAAGGCAGATTTATGTGGATGGACTGTATATACCTATGTTATCACAATTACACTTGGACCTGTTAAGTGGAACATCTCTGTAATCGAAACACCTCGCAAGTGAAACACATTTTGTGTGAGTCCCATTTCTAAAACTATTGACTTATTGTAAAATGAACCTGTAAACGTGGAACTTCTTTTGCAGAACCAAGGGTGTTCCACTTGCACTGGTTTTCTGATTTGTTTTGAATCAGTTTTTGCCAAAAGCAGACACTACCACTGCTTGGTCATTGTTCAAAATGAGTAATATGATAAACATTCCGTTTAGTTGCCTTGCATTTTAAACTAAAGTAATTGGCTCATATGAAAAAGAACATAATGCTTTACATTTATCAAGGTGTGAGTTTGTATTTTATTCATTAAAGAATTTAATTGATATTGTTGAAATAGATTTGATAAAGTTTACATTTCTGCTATATTTAGAAATTAGAACGAAATACTCAAAATGAGAAGTTTTAGAAACAGAATGTGAAAACATATTTCTTTTGTTGGATATGACTGCTCCGTGAAGTTGCCATTTTCTAGTTTTTATCAAACTACGTTACATGAGCAATTATAGTAATAAAACTATAGTATGTTATGAATTAGGCCTAAGTGTAACTGATAATAAAAAGGCATTAGCATATCTGTTGTCAATTTGTTTTATTGTTGCTAAGGCAATACCACCTCATTCTACATATGTGCACAGATTTAGACTAAAACGACCAAATGTCACTAACATGTTAACTGCTAGATGTAAATTAATGCTTTGACTAATACCGGGCCAATGGATGTAAGTTCCCAGCATGCAATGCGAGGAGTGTCTCATATGAGTTCAGTTATGAATGCAGGCTGAAGCAGCTTTATGTTGCAGAGACTACTAATGATGCTGTTTGCAGGATAAAATTGAAAATCTGCATGAACATTTAACATGCTTAACTAATCTATCTAACATTTGTTTAATCGAATAAACACACGTAACAAGTTTCATAATGTTGTGAACATTTTAAGCTCCACATCTGGTTAACAGGTTACCCATAGGTCTGGTTAAAACATGTGGTTAATCAAAGATGAAACATGTGTACTTGTATTCATAATGTGATCCAAAATAATGCTACCTTTCAATTTTTAAATTTTAATCGATAGTACTTGTAATTTCACTTAAAATGTTACGATTAGCCTAATAGAAAAAGTGAAGAATGAGTTAATTTAGAGGCAAATGTCATGAACCATGATAACATGAGGACTTGAATTCTGCTGACAGTGACTATTGTCATGCACAATAAAAACCAAGAGTTATTCTGCTCAGGCCCACTTTATGACATTGTACATTCAAAAATGTCAACCCAGTCTGCTTATTTTAGTTCATGCTAGATTCTTGCTGTATCAACAATATTTCTGTTGATAAATCCTGTCATTTCATGAAATAACATGCTGCTGTATCAGGTACATAGATGTAACAGCAATACAACAAACATACTGTGATGAAGTTTATCTCTTGGACTCCTGGAGGACATAATACTTGATGTGATATCTAATATTATTTGATTTTCAGGGGAGATAAAGAAATGAACAACTTTATATCTTTACTTGATACCACATTACGACTTAACAAGGATGATGACAAATCAGACGATGAAGTAGATGAGTTTGATGTTCCTGATAGACCCAAAGCCCCTGCCCCTGAGCCTGCCATAGTGCGTAGAGCATCAGAACCTCAGTTTGGAATCAGTAAGTTATTTGTGGTGTGATGTGTTTCTATTAATGTTGTAAGCACAAAAGTAAGGGTTTGTGCTACTCATTATAGGCTGCTGTGCCATCTATTGTGCTGATGGGTTAATTCGCTTGGATCTAAGATAAAAAGCTTCATTTGTACAAGAGTTTGGCCATTTTTGGCATCAATCTGATGGATTTGAAACTGGTCTGATAAGTCTGATAAGGCATGGTCTACTATAATTTAAAAATTGTAATTAAATTACATGTACTATTAAAAACCTTACACAGCATTATATTTACCTCGTGACTTTTAGTCTATATATGGTATTTAATTGTTGTTCCAGGTGAAGCCACTCTCAGTGCATCTGGCAGACTCATGGACAGAATTAATGTTTTACGCAGGTATGTACTCATGTTGATGCTTGATATTGTATCTTCTAGAGAAATGATAAAATGGCTACCTGTCACACATGGAAGGACGGTCATGTACATCTTTATTTCACATGAAGTATCTGTTAAAGCTCAAGAGTTTCATTATCAAACTTGTGTGGAGAATTACACAATGTATTTTCAGATGTTTTTAGTGGAAATAAGTGTTGTACCATTGAGAATAACTTTCTTGGAATGGGGGAATTATATTTTAAGGCACAATAAGGCAGCATGCCAAACTAGAAGAGGGCATGAAATAAATTTTATACCAGAAAAAAAAGTAACTGTATGGAGGATCCATTATATATATCGAAATGTCTTCAAAATAATCCAAGTTTAAAGAGCAATTAAAACCTTTGCATCTCTTTTCAAGGTCCAAAATTTTGAAATTATTCAGAAAGGTTGCTAACTGTGTTTAATACACTATTTAATATTCCTGTTCTTGTAGGGATTGTATAAGAGGATTGGGTGTGTCCAAACTGAAGCAAGCGTATGATATTCTTGACAATATAGATGAAGATGAAGTTGAGGTAAATACATTGTATAACAATTTTCAGGTTTATTATCATTCTTTATTTTAGTTATTTATTCATAAGAATATACAGAATACAATTTGACACATATCAAAACACCAAAAATATAACAAATTGAAATTCTTCATACCAAATTGTACCTAATTAGGTATTAAATTACTAAATGTGTAAATTCTTCATACCAAATTGTACCTAATTAGGTATTAAATTACTAAATGTGTTTAGTACAATTATAATTGACCTTTTAAAAATGTATTTTTTACTTTCAGCCTAAATTGGTGAAGTTGCTTGGAAAAGACAATTTTGACATGTTCGCAGGGAAAATCTGGCAGTTGAAGTTCTGTGAAGAATCAGCCTTTGGACTAAACTGAGAGTTAACAGCAATATTAATTCTGTGCATCATTACCTTCTCTGCTCCATCTTTATTGATAAGAACAACTATGAACCGTGTGTTGTATTTTGCATCCATGGGGATGAGACTGTATGGGACACATAACTATGATCCCTGTGTTGTTTTATGCATGCATGGTGATAAGACTATGTATGGGACACATAACTATGAGCCCTGTGTTGTTTTATACATACATGGTGATAAGACTATGTATGGGACAAATAACTATGAGCATTGTGTTGTTTTATACATACATGGTGATAAAACTATGTATGGGACAAATAACTATGAGCATTGTGTTGTTTTATACATACATGGTGATAAAACTATGTATGGGACACATAACTATGAGCATTGTGTTGTTTTATACATACATGGTGATAAGACTATGTATGGGACACATAACTATGAGCATTGTGTTGTTTTATACATACATGGTGATAAGACTATGTATGGGACAAATAACTATGAGCATTGTGTTGTTTTATACATACATGGTGATAAGACTATGTATGGGACACATAACTATAAGACCTGTGTTGTATTTTGCATGCATGGTGATGAGACTATGTATGGGACACATAACTATAAGACCTGTGTTGTATTTTGCATGCATGGTGATGAGACTATGTATTGGACACATAACTATGAGCATTGTGTTGTTTTATACATGCATGGTGATGAGACAATGGACAAAGTATGGACACATAACTGGACAGTAATTTGCTGGTTCATTATTTACTTCCAGTTGGGGAGTAAGATCTCATAATGTAATGTTCTGACTTCTTCACACAGTCATGCCATATGCTCTAGATGTTATACTAAGGTACCAAGCAGTTCCTAAAATTAGTGTTTTTCCAAATATTCAAAACCATCTTTATTTATAATTTAAACCACATTGATATTGTCAACATATGCTCTCTTCTGAAAAGCAGTCCAATTTTTATGTTTTGTTATTTGCTGTTGACTGATCACTGAACAATTGTAAAATTATATAAACCTTATATATTAAGTACTTGAGCTTAAAGATTGGCATCTCAACTTATTTAAAACATGTACTCAAGAGCTTAAGTTGTACTGAAATGATAATATTAAGTTCTTTACGTTGCTCAACTTTACTGTGTTAAAGTGTAGTTTTTACCAATATAGAGCTACTGAGGCTAATGAACCTTGCACTGTAAATCCCGCTCAATTAAATGTTGACTTGAGTATAATTTAGTTAAGTATACATGTATATTTTAAAAATAATTTGAGGGATTACTTTAATTATACCATTTTATCTTAATGATTGAGAGCACTTTTATATATACAGTATGTAAGTTGTACATTGGAAGTCTTAACAATGGTTTTAGACTAGTCAAAACTTCCTTCGAAAATGAGTATAAACATGCTGTACTTTGTTGTATTCTTGCACATTATGCATGGGTTTATTAAAAGCCATGAGCTATTTAATACAATGAAACCTGTCTAAGTAGAACACCTTGGGTACCTTTAAAGTGTTCCAATTGGGAAGTGTTCCACTTGTAGAGGTTCATTTAACATTAAATTGGTTGGTTTTGGGACTCTGAAGTGTACCACTAACAGAGGTGTTTCGCCTCCAGAGGTGTTCCACTTTAAAGGTTCCACTGTATATCATAAAGATAATACTGATGATATGTGATGAGTTGCCCATGTAATTGAAGGGCCTAGTTGCCCATGTAATTGAAGGGAGAGTGTCACCAAGTCGAGGCATTTTTCATTGATAGACTTGTTATGATGTAATAAATGCTTGGTCTGCTGTTTCTATAGTAGCAGACAAAAATCCGTCCAGCTTAAGAGAAAGGGTATATATTATAGAAACCATATTAGATACAATATTCAATTAATATTTATTGTATGCAATCTCTTGAAATTGTAATGTTGTAATACCCATTGCATAGTTACTTTAGTTAGTACTGAATTTTGTAAGAATTATGATCTACAAAGTTTAAGTATAGGGTGCAGCTGATATACTGAGCTTTATTGATAAAATAAATATGAACTAGAAGTCCATTGTATTGCTAAAGACTTGAATAGGTCTTCATATTTTAGAAATATATGTATGCCAATCTGCAGACTGAAGTATTCATCATGAAAGTTGTAACTGTCAAAATATCCTATTGTATCTGAAACGATACAGTTAAACTATATCATGATGTACCTTTTAATATCTCTCAATGCAATTAATGGGAGCTTTTTGTTACTGAAGATCCTTCACTGAAGATAATTAATAATTTGTCCATGACTAATTTAAAGGTGACTTATTTCATGTTTTTGGTTCATTCTGCAGAGTTCTTTTTCTCAGATGAATCCTGTAGAATCAGTCATTTAATTAGATTACCTCATTTCACTAACTTTGTCTATTTTTGGTATTTTATGACGTGTGTAATAGAAATAATGGTTTTAATGTTATCAATGGTGGTCACTCTTTAGTTGGCATGGATAAATTAGAATTTTTGAAAATAGGCAAAATGAATAATTTCAACATACCGTAGGCACTTTCGGTAAAAACAACAGGTGAAATTGTCTTTTGCCTGTCGACAATTATGAATCCCAGTTCTGTAAGACCAATATTATTATGTTTTATTACTGCATAATGCATGTAATGTTAAGTTTAACATAATTTATGAAATATAAGGGTTAGGAGGAGAGATTCATTCATGAGAGCTTTTGTTCCAGATATGTATATCTCAACATTCTCCCTATGAGTTTTTAACTTATCAAGCCCTAATATACAGTTTATTAAATGTCTGTCTAGTGGTGCCCATATGAGAATCTGATTATCCAAAAACCTAGTCCTCTGTTGAACTGCTGTTTTTATCAGAAACGGATGCTTACTCTCACTTAGGCTATAATTTATAAAAAAAAATAAAATAAGCTTGATAACTGTGCTCTTTAATTTGTTTTTACTAAATGAACAATTAACCTGTTATGTATGTAGCAATATAATGTAGACCAGTATTAGGTGCAAACATTTTTAAGATGTCTGCTTGTTGTAGTGATATATTTATACATGTACATTATACTATGTTGCCAGTTACGGGTGCTTGTGACATACATGACATAAAACATGTCTGAAGCTGTTATATAGCTGAAATATAAATAGATGAGATATGAATTAATAAATGTGTTGTGTTTGATATTTGATATGGCTAAGATGAAAGGACATGTTGTACCAGAACAGTTAGCCTTGCTCAAGTCAGTATTTTTTTACTTATCTGATCTTAAATTATAATAGAAATCAAGAAAAGTAAAAGAGACCGGCTTGGGCAAGGCTACAGAACAGTATTGCATATTATATCCAATAAACGAAACAAAAAAATATTCTCAGATTAAAAAGATTTGGGCAATGTAATTTTTTGGTCATCTTTTGAAAACAGAAAATGATAGACTGGTCTGATGGTGTGATATGATGTCAGAATCATGCATTAGTACACAGGCATTCTCTTGAAAGCCCATGATTAGTATGACATCTCAAATCCTGTGTTTTTATGACCAGCCTGTTCCTTCCATGTATTGGCACTATGTGGAATAAACAAACAAACAGTCATTGCCACTTGCCAGTCTGATTTGAACTTGAGCACAAGTCCTGTCCACCTGGAGGAAATGGCGTAGAAATGGGTGGAATAAGTGGAATCAACTGTGATGTAGTCTTTGCCCAAGTCGGTCTCTTTTACCTTTCTTGATTTCTATGGTAATAATTCAAGATCAGATAAGTAAAAATAAAAAATACTGACTTGGGGCATGGACTTCAAATAACATGATTGTCTTGTCAATCTCTTAAGAAATAATAATGTTTGGTGCTTAGAAGTCCATGCTTGGGGCAAGGCTAACTGTGATGGTGAATCTGTTTTACTTTAAGTCAACAGGTTATTCGGTAGTGATAAGACTAATGCTTGATAAAATGTGGGTTTGTCGTATTGTCAATGTTTGCTTGTCAGCTTGTACAGTCAAGAAATTATGAGAGTTCAGTGGAAGCTCCAAATGTGTGTTTGCCATACCACGTGCATTTGTTTACATTTAGAATGTATATGCGGTGACTCATTTTCCATTAACCAATCACATGTCATTTTTTATTCTGTTTTATGAGATGGACTTCCGGATTCAAAAATTATAGTATGGTGGGTGTTTTAACTTCATTTCTTTACATATTTCTTGATATATAGCGAAGAATAGACAAATATTCTTATATCTTGCGATTCATGATATACCTAAGTTATGTTTGAAGTAAAGTTTGTACTGAATTTATCAGGAATAGCGTGGAAAATGCTGTTTGATTGACGCCGGAATTTTGACCTACTTTTGAATTATTTTTGAAAGTTTCAAAAAATATCATTCAATTATCATATTAAAATGTACCTCTTTCGTCAAATTTTTTAGTTACATATCAATGTTATTCGGTTGAAAAAAGTACTTTGCAGTCATATCAATTTGATTCAATGTAGGTTTGGTGTTGTCTTACATTTACAAATACACTTTTGTTTGAGTCCACTATTTTGTCAAAATCACTTCCTGCTTTTTTCCCATTTTTTTTTCAACTTTGAGTTTACTAATTTGACAATAAATTATGACATGATTTGATTATCATTCTAAATGATCAGCAGAAAATGTAATTTTTTCATTTTACTAATGTGTCATATAGTCCATTTAAATCTTTTTATTTCATCAATAAAACCTAAAAATATGGAATCAAAAGGCCACACTCCATTGTGCAATTTTCTATGGATTAAATGTTCATATTGTACACATTTGAGCATTTGTTTATTTTGGATTGCTAGTGGTTTTGCTAATAAGAAGATGTGTGGCCTCTAAGACTATATTTTGATAATTTTAATGCTTCTGTAATGATCCCTGGGCAGCTCCGAGGAGTAACCCCATAAATGTGGGGTTGATTTTGGACAATACCCCATCGTAACCCTGAATATAAACATGGGCAAATCCCACATTTGATACCAATGTAACGTCCCATGGACCCCTCTGGGGAGCTGTAGTGTAACAAGCCAGATACTAGACATGATAGGAAGTGTGCTATATTCAATGCCCCATGCAGGTATCAAACCCAGGGCCTGGCACTCCAAAGTCTGATGCTCTAGCGCTTGAGCCAATAGTGGCTAGCCACTATAACTTGGCTGCAGTAACATCTTGTTATCGAGGGTCATTACACTTCTCTGCCATGTTATTTTACTTGGCCGAAAGTCCTTCAATTAAGGCTGTATTTTCATACACACTGTGTGTCATGGGTGCAATACACCCGCACAGCAGTTAATGAGCATTATCATGAAACGATCAATGGACCTCAAGGCGTGAATTGCTTGGTCGCATGTTTTTAACAAAAAACGACCCATTCAAACGCATACGGACACCATTCAGCGAATGACCAGAGCGAGTGTAACCGACACAGTTGGCATAGGGGTATTAAGTTTAAGGTTTAAGTGCGCTTGAATGAGCTGTTATTGTTGAAAACATGTGAGCATGTAATTTGCATGGCGGAGCTTTTTGTTCTTTTTTGTGATACCTGCTGACAAGGCTCATTAGTGCTGTGTGGGTGGATTGCACCCGTTGGCATATGAAAATGCACCCTAAAACAGGCCACAGCTTTGTTGCATATTACAAATATTATCTGAAATATACAAATGTTTTGATATATTAGACCTATATGAATGTATTTTTTCATAGATTAGGGCAATTTTGTATCTTTATTCCTTATTTTTTATTAGGTTTTATTGATGGAGAAAACATTGCAATAGACTATAAAGAGTTAGGAAATGTCTATTTGAATGGCATTTGAGATGTTATTGAGATGTCAGTTTGACAAATATTTTACTTCATGCAATAAAAAAATTATTTTGATCATGAACTTTATTCTTTCGAACAGGAGTTTACTACATGAAACTGCTTTGATTTTGTGGTATAAGGAGAATTGAGAATATGTATAGTGGCATGGAACACTCTATGGCTAATAAATTAATGACATTATAGCCTATATGCTTTCTAAAATTGAATATAATCCATTTTCTCTAACTTTTTTCTTGAAAGCACATGCAAATACAGTCTTCAAATTATTATTCAAATCATATTCATAATACATCTTAGATATGATAAGTACATCAAATATACTAATCACCAGTGTACAATTCAAAATCTTGTTGCAATTCTTGAACCATATCATGTTTTCTTCAGTATTGAATATTTCACTATTAACTGCTGATATGATCAAATAAATCAATGGAACAATACATGACTATTCAAATCATATTGAGGAAACAAAAGAAGGAAATTTCCCCAGTTTAATATCATTGATAAGTATAAAATTTACATGCAAACTTATATTGATTAAAAACTATTTGTTTTCAGTCAGCGACATTAAAGCCATATTTAAATGCCGTGAGGCACACACTAACAGCAGCCTTATGTCTTGAAAACTTCTCATCTCAGGTCGTTGAGCGACACAACAAACCAGAAGTAGAAGTTAGGTAAGTGATCAAAGTTTGTGTTTATTGAAGAACATAATTGATTTGTATTGTGTAAACCAAAATGCATTTAAGTGGCAGCACATAGAAATCTTCTAAAAAAGCATTCAAATCTTTCTTTGCAATCCTATTGTAATCTGAAAAGAAATTCAGTGTATTCGATCAAATTAAAAAGATTTTTTGATGATTTATGAATTTTTGTCAAATGAATGTCTAAATAAAATACATATTTTCTGTTAAAGTTAAAGTTTTGCCTCACTATTAAAAATTGTGTTCAATTTTGGCTACATCTTTGTTGTGTGTGAAGTATTCTTTAATTGTGTAGATAAAATAAATTCGCTCATATACTTATGATTATTTTTCAGGAGTAGTAAAGAGTTACTTTTAACTCCAGTAGTTATCAGTAGAAATGAGAAAGAAAAAGTTCTTATAGAAGGTTCAATCAACTCACTAAGGATAAGCATTGGTGTGAAACAGGTCAGTGTGTTATGTTATTTAGAAACAGAATGTGGCCCTTGACTCAGTAAATTATATCAATATACACTGATACAACTGCAGCTTATGTCCATTGTCCACTCATTTCAATTTGTATTGTTTGTTAAGAATCCTTACATAATGTCTTATTAATCTAATTGATAGAGATGATCAAAGTGATGCTCTAATTGTAACATGTACCAGAAGTGGTGACATACTGTTATAGCCTCCAATTTTTTGTGGACAGTGTTTGATGGTCAGCGGTTGGTCTGTTGAAAGCCCATGCTATAACAAATGTCACAAATGGTGACATTTTGCACGTTTCTGCCTTGTTTCAAATACTTTCATGATATTCTATTTGAATCATTCAGGTACCAGCATAGACTTCAGTCAATGATATCGGGTATCAATTAGACATAAGACAGTAAGAGTTTTGTTGTTTTGTTGAAGTGTGTAACTGAAAATAAACCATATTGTTCTTGTTCTCTTATAGGCTGATGAAATAGAAAAAATATTATGCCACAAGTTCATGAGGTTTATGATGATGAGAGCAGAAAATTTCATTATACTTAGGAGGAAACCCGTAAAGGTATTTTTATTTTACTTTATACTTATCTGTCCATTAAGTAAGTATGAATTGAAATTGGAATTTGAAACTAACATTCTCAAAACTAAATCTTAATCATTAAGTGAATGTATGGTTTGATTTGCAATATTAAAAAGTAGAGGCATTGGAAATAATTAAACTTAGAGAAAATTGACACGAGTCCTTTAATTCCAAATATCGTTGCATTTTTCTATTTTAGGGAAGATAATTTTTGTAACTGTTTATGTTGTTAAAAGTGAGGAAAATACTGAAGGTTCAATAAAAATATCTGTATCATGTTTAAAATGTTTATTTTACAGGGATACGATATTAGTTTTCTCATTACAAACTTCCATTCAGAGGCTATGTTTAAACACAAACTGGTTGATTTCATCATACATTTCATGGAGGAAATCGATAAGGAAATCAGCGAAATGAAGCTTGCCGTCAACTCAAGGGCACGTATTTCAGCAGAAGAATTCCTCAAGCGATTTTAGGTAAACTAAATTACTGGTATGTGTAAAGGAAATTCAAGTTATTTTTTATAATCTCAATGCACGTATTTCAGCAGAAGAATTACTCAAGAAATTTTAGGTAAACTAAATTACTGGTATCTGTGTGGCATTTAAAGGAAATTCAAGTTGTATTTATGATCTCAATGCATTCCAAATTTATTAATACCTATATCTAATGTTCTGATGTCATGATTACATTATTAAAGCTAAATGAAAATCTTGAAAACAATGTAAAGCCTTCTCCTTCTGGTTAACACTACATTACTGTAATTACTTAATTGTGGATGTTATTCTGCAAGTTGATATGTTTATGTCTGTTTTTTTAGAAATGATGAATGATTACACAGTATTATGTATTGAATCTTTATTTGATTCCAGGGTAGAAGCCAAGTGGAACAACATGGGAATACTGGTCTTCATAACATACACACTATCCACACAAACATTTAATGTCAGGGCGAAAGTTTTAAAATGTCAAATAACTGTATTCATTAAATAGCAAAGAATATTGCTATGAATTGTTCAGTGCACAATAGCATATAACACGTCACCTGGTCACCTTAGTAACAACAGAAGAAAACAATACATGACAAGAGTTTTAGATTTTTGCTATTTTGTTGTGTGTTAAATACCTAACTTTAGCAACTTTCACCTAATAGAGCCTAAAAATAGACACAGAAGTATGGGAAAGAACTGTTGTAATAGTGTCTATTTTAGGCTGTCACTGTTAGTGTTAAATTTGGATATTGCATTTACATATAAAACTGTCAATTTAGTAAGTGGCTTTTCTGGATATATACCTAATATGTGATGATGTAATGTACCTGAATTACAAAATCTAAAATATGTTTGATTTTGAAGAGGCAATAAAAACAGAAATATGTATGTTAATCTAATCAATCATTGTTAAAACATTTCTTATGTTTGTATTTTTAAAGAAAGTCTGATTATTACACTGAATACTAAATTCTTCATACAAGTAATTCAAGGTAAAGGGAGCACATGTTTAAACAATTGCTCGTCATTTTTATGTTGAAATTAACATGTACTTTTTTCCTACACCAATCAAGCAGCATCACACCGGGAAAATGGGAAGCAAAAATATTAACCTCCAAAATTTTATAATTCATGTGACATGTGTGTAACAACATGTATAATACATCAGAAAATTATGTACATTTATATTACTGTAGATAATGTTGCATCAATTTTGTATAAAATAAAATTAATATAACTAAAAATGACTTCTTTTTCATATTTGGTATGGATATTGTGTTTATAACATTAATGTAGCCTGGCTAAGTCAGTGTATTTTGTATTTATCTTTTACTTTAAGATCAAGATAGACAAGCTATAATAAGTAAAATAAAATGCCAACTTAGGCAAGGCTAACATTAGTAAAGTTATTGCAGATTCACTTAGATAAATAGGTACTTCTTGTCCCTAATTTGAATAGGATGTCATCATTATGTTTTTACAATTATCTCCCAGATGACCTTTAAATGTTACAATTTTCGGGATTGAGGTCCATGCTATGATAAACTGAGCGCAAGAATTTACCCTTGGAAAAAAGTTATCGACTCAATTTCAAATATTTTATTAAATATTGTTTTACTGTGTGAAAATATATAAGGCTTGATAAACAACCACACCTGATTTCTCATTTTGAATGGGCCCTATGGGTTAAACAGTTTTTATGTCGCCAATTACCAAGATAGTTGTTAAAGCCACAAGTTTGTGTGGCTGGCAGTTGGGTGTCACATTTGTAATTGTTTCACTTAGCAATTTGCAGATAGTGACAAATTGTCATATATGCCTTGCAGTACATTATGCAGTTATACTAAAGTCATATTATTAAAAGGGTATCTTGGACAATCAATGGAGAAATGCCATGAAAACAAGTGAACTTGCCTCACCCATTTACAAATCTTACAGAAGTTGTTATATTTGTACAACTATTAATTGTAAATTAAGGATGTATATAACTATCAAGGGCTTAGAAAACAATAAAAATGAGTTTTTTGAAGAATATCATCATTTAGATTCATTTTCATCTTAAAGTAGGGGTCATTGTAACAGCTCCCACTCCGTAAATATTTTTTCAATTTCTGTTTTCTTTATGGAATGAAAGATGAATATCCACTCTAATTGCGTAAGTAAAAATCAGTGTTCTATACAAAGCGACATGCTGTATTAAAGCTTTGAATAGGAGTGAAAATCACTGTAATAGGAAAATCTTATTTTGTCCTTTTATGGATGATTTAAAGAAATAACTCAAAAATAAAAACATGATTATCTCCATACATGTTGATAATTTAATAAAAAATTGAATTCATCATAATTATGACAATACAGAAAGTGAACATTCTCCCACAAATTATATTTTTATTGGAAGGTGTTCTTGAATAATGCAATACTTGAAGAGATTATCTTGATACCTCTTATTCTTATTGGCCTTTGTTTACTTTTACATGAGATTGAATATATTTTATGCTTTAATCATATTGAAAATTGATTTTTATTCAACATAATACTAAAACATGTACATTTATCTAATACTTTTTGAAATATTACTATAAAAGGAGAGCATGGCATTGCTCATTTTGAAGGTCTCATGTTATTACACAGAGTTGCATACCCTTCTAATTGGAAGCCCATGGTTATTACAACCTTTAACCTGTGAATAACAGTATTGACATGGCACCCTTGGAACAATTACAATGTACGCATGGGTAGATGGAAACCGAATAAAAGTCAGTCACATATTGAAGGTTTGTTAATTAATGATGTGGAAGAACTTGCAGACCTTCAAAATCCCCGGGAACACCTCTTCCCCCCCGGCTCTGTATTCCCGGGAAAATTATTAGAAGGTCAAGGTCGCAAACACCAAGCAACAAAACAACAAACTGGCAGAAATTATTTCCTTATTTCAACATATTTAGTACGTTTTAAGCAATATCTAGCTACGGCCAACTGTACATATCTAGCTTTAAATACAAAGTTTCAAAAAATAGAACAAAGGTTTAACGTTTTGATCTAAATTATGAGAAATCAATGCTTTTAATTCATGAAATTTTGAAATTACCCTATTATCGCCCACCTAAAAATTTCTATATTTTTATTTTGATTCTTTTTACATGACTTATAATCCTAGGATGAAGAATACCACATAACAGTATAGAAAATACAATGCCATAAAGACCAATCAACATGGGATGTGGTTCTTCTGCTGTCGCTACTGGTACTACCCTTACAAACTCAAGGGGACAAATAGAACAGACATGGGATGCAGTTTTTACAACTCTTGAAGTGAAGGATAAAGACACCAATCCATATAAGAATTTAGTGGTCAAGAGATCGGGATGGAAGACTATACGAATATTCGTATCTTCAACTTTTAGGGATTTCCATCAAGAGAGGGAGGTGCTGGTGAAAAAGGTAAATGTATACATGCTCAGTAAATCTACAGGGGGGGTGGGACTGAATGATGATGTTGTTTGGGGCGGCACATAGGTATTAAGAAGTATATGTGAGTGAGACCTCTGGGTTAAACTGAAATAGATGCCATTTCAACTATATCAAATTTTACTTGCGCATGCGCGGCACTGAGAAAGCATGTGCTCATGATTGTTCACGTGATCACATCTTGCAATTTGATTGGAGATCGTATAATGGGGAATCCCCGAATATGATAGAATATGAAAGAATTATGGGAGCTACTCACTTCTTCTGGTAAATCTATAGACCAACCCATGCTACAATCCAACAAGTACAATAATAGTGTACTCCTGGTAATTTTCGACTATCTGACTATGTTTTGCTTTTTTCGCGAGTTTTGGAAAATTTGTGAAATATAATAGTTGTAAAATGCTAATAGTTCTAATTCGCGAAATATGTTAGTCCCGTTGTTGGAGTACAGTAGTTATTTCATTATGAATTAGCACTATATTTTAGCATGGACTTGAAGGGGAAATTAAGGTTAGTTAAAACTGATTCAATTCAGTAAAATCTACATTTTCAGCCTAAGAAATACCTGTCTAGGGTTGCAGTTTAGATACATTGTTGCATCCATGTCCCTATTAGTGAATTAAAATACTTATAAATATGTGGTATGAACTTAAAATGTACTTTATAAGTTCAAAAATGATCTGCAGTGATTGGCTTGGGAGTTTTCACTGTATGCTGTACTTTTTCCAGGTGTTTCCAGATTTGAGAGTATGGTGTCAGAGTAGACGTCTTCATTTGGTGGAGTGTGACCTCAGATGGGTAATTTCTTCTTTTAACAAAATATTTATTAGTCCATCTGTCCATCTATGTATACATGTATTAATTTACAAATAGTGACTAAAATGTGGCAGTCACTATTTGTTTTATTATATACCCCATATGTACTCTGTAAACAAAAACAAAATGAGAAGTCTTCATTTCAACATTAAATGTTTACAGGGTCTTATTGGGATTTGAAGGCATTTTGCCTTTCAACTCCTATAACCTCACCTATGGGGGGAAATAAAATGTGCTAATGACTGGTCACATGATCTAACTGGTGATCTCTGGTACCAGATATTTAGGGCTTTCCAGGGAATTAGTTCACCTATTTCATATCATGTGACCATGAATAAGCCAATGAGCATCTAGAATACATATGAGGTATATAATAATAATATATAATATTGAAATATAAATAAATAAAGAACCTCTATTTAAGATCTAATTGTAAATACTCTTATCAGTTGGTTGATCAAAAAAGCAAAATGCTAAGGCATGACTTATGATTACAAGATGTCCCCTATATTATATGGTATGATTTCTGATATTTACAGGGTGTTCCAAAAGATTCTACGACAGAGTCCACATTGAGAACATGTCTGGGAGAGATAGATCGGTGTTATCAAGATAATATTATGCCATTCTTTGTCAACATGACAAGGTTAGTAAAATGTACATGTTTTTATCCAATTCATAATAGAAAATGTAGTCATTATACAGTATTATAATACATTGTATATCGTTTTTAGTACCTGTATCAAAGGTCTATTTTTGTAACTACCGGAATATTTCATTGAAAGAATCTCAGATTCATAGTAAAGCTTGTTTTCTTGTTATGCCACCACCGCAAGTGGTGACATTGTTATACGTAGTCTCCAACTTTTTTGTGGATGGTATTTGTTATTTGGTATTCGGTGATTGGTGTTTGGCATTTGGCAGTCTGCATTTGGCAGTCTGCATCTGTAACAAATGGCAGATGGTGATATTTTGCATGTTTATGCCTTGTATCAATCACATATTTTGAAATTAAACGTTGCATAACATTGCATTTCTTTTATCTAACAATCTTGGATCTTGGAGAAAAGTTACATCTCTGGTCCACCAACCACCACAAATGGTCCCCTGATTATGATAAAATTGTTGAAACTTCCTAAGTGGCCTATTTTGAATGCCTCAGGTTTCAATTGTCTTCCCCATACTTTCTAGTGAGAGGATAGGCTGGATCCCTAGAGGACCTGACATTCCAGAGGGTCTCAAGGCACAGTATAAGTGGATAGATGGTCTATCAGTCACTGAGATGGAAATCATGCATGCAGCTTATAGGAAAGAAAATCCAAACTGTAAGTATTGTACATACATGTAGGGAGAAATTCAGTGTTTTAAATCAAGTTTTGCATATTTTATCCAAAATATTGGACTGAATTGAGCATGTACTTTGTATCTTAAGAGAAAATCTGAATTTCAGATTGAACCCAATTAAAATGTGTGAACTTTGTTGAACTTTCTATAGGGAATTTAATAGGAACATAATTATGTATACTCAAAATTCCAATGGGTTTACAGTATTTTAATCTAAACATTTCTTTTTTCTTTCAGCCATTTTTATGTTGAGGGACCCAAGTTTTCTCGAGGGTGTTCCAGAATCTCACAGAACAGCTTTTGTAGATGACCAGGAGCTTGCGCCAGAGAAACTCAAGATGTTGAAAAAGATGATATTTGATAGGTTTACTGTGAGTAAAACAAGTTCATCATTATTATGTCACCACTAAGGAGTGGGAACATATTGTTCTGGCCTCCATTTTTAATGACTGGTGATCAGTGTAAGGTGCTTGACCTGCAATGTCTGTAACAGTTGTTCCACTTTTGCAATATGTCTGTAACAATTGTTCCACTTTTGCAATATGTCTGTAACAATTGTTACACTTATTTAATATGTCTGTAACAATTGTTACACTTATGTAATATGTCTGTAACAATTGTTACAGTTATTTAATATGTCTGTAACAATTGTTACAGTTATATAATCATTTGCAATGACTTATCAGGAGGTGATATAATGTTAATTCCTCGTACTGCTTATGCAGTGACAACTTTAACTTTTTTATGTTAGCCTGTTGGGTGTTCACATTTCAAGGTTTCTAAAACAAGCAAGTCAATGGAAGATAATAAATTTGGGACCAAGAAAATGTGTTCATATTGAGAGGTGTTCAGATTTGAGAGATGTTCGGATATACAGGTTTCACTATATATTTGTTCTCCCAAACAAGAAGCACATTGTGTTGTTAATGCATTCATCTTAAATTACAGGCTGAAAGAGTGAAGACATACCAAGTCAAATATGAAGGCTATGATGAGGAAATAAAAAAGGTTGCACTCAGTGGCTTAGATGGTACATTCAGTCAGACAGTATTTGAATTTTTCAAGAGGCGTATTGAACAGCAATATCCATTGATGGACAAAGAATCTGAAGATCCATTTGAGAGGATAAGACAGAAGCATGAAGCTTTCATGAAGAGTAATGCTGCTGTCGTAATAGGAAGAGATGATGTTCTCAAAAAGGTCGGTGTTTGAAGAAATCCCCAGGAAATTGCTCAAAATGTTGTTTTCCCCGACTGATCTGTTGTCATAACACATGACCTGTTTGAGATTCTCCACATTGTAGTTGTTATACGCCTTCATTCACTAGAATCCTGTTGGTCTCAGTGAAGACCGAGCGTGCGAAGATGCTCGTTTTAGCCAAGAGGATGTCTAAACTTAACAACAATGTTATTATTAGATTTCTTACAAGCACTTTAATTTCCCCAATTTTCTAAGGATTAACTATTGGTGTTTGTTGATATTGACCGTGAGTTGTTCAATAATGTAAATGGCACCATAATGTTCAAAATTTTTTATGTCACTTCAGGTAGATGAGCACATTTGTGGTCCAGGTGTGGATAAACCTCTCCTCTTGATAGGTGGTGCTGGGAGCGGTAAATCATCTGTGATGTCACGGCTTGCAGATGTGACATCACAGAAAGCTGCAAGCAAGCAAATTCCTGGGTGAGTTGATTGTTCCCAAATTCCAAAAAAATCAAGTTGAACTTAATACCAAACTAAGTTCCTCACTCCTTCTCAATTGATTTGTGTATTAAATATAATTTATGTGTAAAGCCCCGAGAATTGACAATATTTTTATGTTGATGGTGTTTGGCAGTTAACATTTAGCCGCTGACATTTGTTACAAATGGTAGGTAGTGACATTTTGCATGTTAATTCTTTGTTTATTTATAATATGTTACCATAAATAAGCCAATGTACTATGCAGAATACCTATGGCGTATATAATGATATGCAATGTGTATCTTTGTGCAGGGGTGGAGATAAAGGCTGGCATGTGTTCTACCATTTTGTGGGTGCTGTACCTGGCTCTACAGAACTAGAGAAACTTCTCAAGAGATTACTTAAAGAGATGGGAGTAGTAAGTTTAATGACATTCGATGTTAGTGTAATGACCCTCGTTAACAAGTCTCAGTTGTAGTGGTGAGCCCTTATGGCTCAGGGGTTGTTCATCGGTCTATGGAGCAGAAGGTTCTTTGTTCGATTCCTGCATGGGTATTGAATTTTAGAACATTCCCTTTCATGTCCAGTATCTGACTTGTTACACTCTTAAAGATAAAGATTCAAACAGATTTAGAACAAAATGTCACGTTTGGGTCATTATTGAGGATAGGTTTCACTTTATTGAATTCTTGATGATTTTTTTCAAAATCTGCTAGGAATGCTGTTTGGGGTGTTCATGTCTGTTGTCAGAGAGGCGAATTTAACATAAGATGCAATGGAAGTAATAAAAATAAGCCTATGAAATATGTCCATATTACATACAGTGTTTTGTTCAAGTTGAGATGTTATACTGTATCTTGTATTTTCAGGAGACTGATATGGTTAAAGATCTGGACAGCGCAGCTCAATTTACATGTGGAGCATTAAACAATGAAAAGACTCGCCCTACTGTTATCATTGTGGATGCCCTTAACCAAGTAAATATTAAATATGATAACATAATTGATAATAGATAATTGTGATCTTTCAGTTTGTCTAATAACGGAATCTTTACACAGAGAAATTAAATGGGCCAAGTCTGTTTTGAATGCCTTGTGTATGCTGAAAGTGTTTTAATATAATGTGTGCTGTATTTCACTTTGGCAATGTGCTGAATTTCAGTTAGACAATGATACAGCTGCAGAGGTTGTTAGTTGGGTTCCAAAGAAGTTAGCTCCTCAGATCAGATGTGTGTTCTCTATGATACCTGACACCCCTCAGCATAAAGTGTTTCAGTCCAGGGAACCTCAGCCATACATGATGAACCTCACACCCCTTGATATGGAATCCAGAACGGTAAGGGGAGACACAGTTAACCAAAATATTGTTTTTCACATTTTCACCAAAATCTTACCAATTCCTATTATCAGTATAGTTAATTATGTCACAACCACAAGTGATGACACATTGTTATAGTCTCAAACTTTTTTTGGACAGCATTCAGAGTTTGGTGTCTTTAACAAATGGCAGGTGGTGAAATTTTGCATGTTTCATTCCTCATCTATCATTTTACATATATTGGTTGATATTTCTTTTTTGTTTTACAGGATATCATCAAGGATATGTTAGGGAAATATAACAAATCTTTAGATAAGCAACAGATGCAAACATTGCTGTCAAAGGAATCTTCCCAGAATCCTCTCTGGTTATCATTAGCTTGTGAGGAACTGCGAGTATTTGGAAACTTCCGCATGATCTCACAAAAAATTGAAGAGATGAAGGATGGACTTTGGAGTTAGTTTTTATATTATTATACATTTTCTATGAGTTTAATGTTTGTGTTATGTTTACTCATTTTTAAACATTTATTCATACAGTAGGCATGGGCCCAGCCAGGGGGTTGCGATGTTTGCAATCGCAACCCCCACAAAAAAGGAAAAAGGCAATTTTGTAAAATTTCTTGAAAAAGCATTATCAAATTTTAGTATGAAAGCACCATATACAATGTAAATTTTAAAAAATATCTGGGGGTAAACCCCCATACCCCTTTTTTTGGGACTCGTTTGCTTGTTGTGATGCAAACCCCAAAAATTGCACCCCCCTTGACAATTGCACGCTATGTCCCTGGTAGGTTTCAAGAAATATTCATTCACTTTCATCATTAGCAGTGTTCAAGCATAGCTGTTTAGTATATATATTTGCAGACCTGGAGTGGGACCTAAAACTGTGTACAAGAATAGGTCCTCTTTTTCAAAAAATGAGCCAAAATTTTCAAAAATCAGGCTAAAATTTTCAAAGGTTGGTCCTTTTGAAAAATGGCCTCTTTTTATAATTGTATAATAAGTGTGGGAAAGGATTTTCAAGATACTCTTTTGGACCAATCTTGTCAACTTGTGTGTCTGTTCCTGTACTAGAAAGATGCATTACAAGGTACATACTTGTATCTTTATTTTTATTCTCAGGCTAGAGATGCAGATAATGACTAGGTTTGAGGAGGAGAATGGAGGTGAGCTGTTGGTTGCTACGTTGTGTCTTCTAGAAACATCATCCACAGGTTTGCTAGAGACTGAACTATTACAGATTCTTGGGGACACTGATAACCTGATGCAACCACAAGCAGCCGAAGGTTCAGAGAAAGGTACACAATCTTAACTACCTTTCTGTTGCATGGTTGCATTTTTGGTACACTAAATGTATATAGGTATTTTAGTCATATTTTAGTCATTGCTCGTATATAGGTATTTTAGTCATTGCTCGTATATAGGTATTTTTGACATGTTTTCAAAAGAAATGTTTCAATTACTAAATTGGCTAGCTCTAATGGTTTCCTTTTGACTTTGGCAAGCACTTTTCTCTGATGCATTCTGGCAATGATGACATCCTTCTATTTTCAAGTTTTAATACATTTATCTAGGAAGAAACTATTCTAGAAGGTCATAAATCCCTACAATTCCTCTGATGAAAGACAAACCAACAATTTAAATGTGAATTTCAAAATTGGAAATACATATTTACAATATAACAGTTCAAAACTATGAGAAATTTCCAATAGCAATACAACCATACAATAATGGCCGTATTTTTATTTCAAAGATGACAGTAAAAGTGAGAAACAAGGCAAATACTCAGAACCGTTACCAGCGTACAAGTGGGCAGAGGTGTACAGAGCTCTCAGACCATTTCTGCGTCCATTTGGTGACAGTGGGGAGGGTCGCCTTGACTTTTATCACAGGTCCCTCAGCAAGGCAGTCAGACAGAAGTAAGTGGAAGCAATATTTTACCTTTATTAAGCTTGTATATGCGAATAATGCCTGTCACCTACTGGATTAACCTACTATTTTATGACCAACTCATTTAAATATGAATGGAATAGTGGCAGGTTCTATTCATATTTGAATGAGTATGAATACTGTAGTATGTTAATCCAGTAGCTGACAGCTGAAAGTTGCATTCGCGAATACAAGCTCAGTCAAATCATCCAGTTAATGCCAGATAGATGCTAATATAAACACAGACAATCATTTCAGGGGGACTTTTAGGGGGAGTTTGCATACCATCAGCGTTATATTTTTCTAAGATAAGTATTAATAGTTAATTGAAGGATTAAAAAAGAAGTATGATTATCATTCAATCAAACAAAGTTCCCGGAGATTTTAGAATGTCTCTGTCTGTCCATCCAAACATCTGTCTGTATCAAATACAATTTGCCAGATATCGATAATATTTTATACACTGCAGGTTCTATGGGATTTGCTACATTTTCCAATTGCAGTTATCTAGGATTATATTTTTTGTTCACTTTTTTTGTTGTCAATAACCTTTACTTGGTTAATAATGTTTTTGTCTTCATAGGTATCTTCAGAATGAAAAAGATCAGAAATGGTGGAACAAAAAACTAGCTGGTTATTTTGAAAATGTGCAGAACTTGGAGAGAAAAGTGGAGGTAAACCAAAATTAAATAGTAGTGATAAAATGTAATTCTCATTATTCATGAGCTTCTTTTATGTGAAATGGAAGATGTAAGATATACTTTCTGATCGCCCCTCGTACATTTAAATTACAATCAGTTTTGGAACTGTCAGGGTTTCAACTTACCATTGCGAAAAATGTGAATAAAATCGAATACAATCATAAAGAAATATAAGACCTCTATATACTAGGATTTAATGCTTAGCCTAGGAAAATCTTTCTAGTCTCATTGGAGAAAGGAGTGCATTTGTAACCTGTTACTGCATCGTGTAACATTAATTTAATGGCAAACATTGTGTGTTGTTGTTGTCAGGAATACCCCCATCATCTGATAGAACTTGACGATAAAGACAGGTTGAAAGAATTGCTGACAGATTGGGACATATTTGAGGAACTATTCAACATAGAGTACAGCTCAAAACTTATTAAGTATTGGAATAAGGTGGGTGATAGTTTTGATGTGCCAAGATCGAAATGACCCCAAAAGTTGCCGTCAAACAAGCTTTGATGAGAGTTTCATTATCAGTACTAGTTACTTGTAAAAGTTGTCTAAATACAAGCCTTTGTACCACCCCCCCCCCCCCCCCATTACACACCACCCACACTTGTTGTTGAAGTCGATAAGCGATCAAGCTTTATCTCATCTTTGGATTGTCTTCTGTGTAAACGTGCTTTATCAAGTGAAACAGTATACTGTAAATCTTGTTATTTTATCACTAAAATCATAGTCATGAGAAATGAGAAACCAAATAAGGTCAGTATAAATTGAGTTGGGACTTTGCCTCAGTTTTAAGAAAATAATCATTTAAATAGTGATTTACAAGACTATGATTTAATTCCTTTTCCTTAACATATGAAGAGGGATCATACAGTTGTCATAACATCTCTCTAATTCTTTTTTATTTTTTCAACATATTGAAATAAAATGAAATTTCCAAAGATTTAGAAAATCAGTTGTCAGAATTTATTGTTTCAGACATGTACGCATGACGAGATGGAGCAGTGTTACGTTACAAAAATGGAAAATTTAGTAAATGATCCAGAAGCCCCAAAACAACTCTTGTCACAGCGCTTAGAAAGACTCTCACGATTTCTGTAAGTTTTCTGATAATTGCATAATTTTTATGGTGAAAAATATAGGAATTTAGGCAACATAAAAATACGTTTAGGTCTTGATCATTACGATAATAAATATATTGTTATGGAACAGGAAATATATCTTTTTAATGATATAGTTAATGATATTTAAAAACACTAAAATTAATTGAGAAAATGTGTATGTATTCAAGATAAATTGTTTTCAGGGCTCAAATGGGAAGGTATACACGGAGTATTGAATATTCTTCAAAAGCTCAGACATTAGAAGAAGAGCTTGGTTCAGATCCTGAACGGATGGCAGATGTTCACTATAATATTGCTATCGTAATGATTGAGGTAAAGCTTTAATATTATACAAATAGTGACTGCCATTGAGGGCAATAGTGTAAATTATTTCCCCGAGGGAATATCCTCTAAAATGTAGGCTATTCCCGAAGCCGCATGCTGAGGGAATAGTACATTATAGAGGGTATTCCCAAGGGGAAATCATTTACACTATTGCTTGAAATTAGGCAGTCACTATTTGTTTTATTATATACCCTATACTTACTTTTGTCCTGTTTCCTTCGCGAAGGCCAAAAAGGCTTAGAAAGGCCCCTCCCCAAGTCCATTGTTAGCATTATAAGCTGTGACGTCATAGTATGCTCAACAGAATTTTTTCCCAAGAAATTTCTTAGACTCTCACTTGACAAATTCAATCGCGTTTAACACGCAATATTTTTGGTAGTTTCAGTTACCATGGCAATGAATATGTTACCATGGAACAGATTATTCAGCTTAAAACACTTCTCACATTTCTAACATACTGTAACTTAAGAATGTATATTCACATTGACTTGAAATGTTACCATGGCAACAAATGAGTTGATATTTTGTAATCATTTTTTAAACATTTGCAATAACTAACAAGGAGGTGACATTTTGTCATGTATTTTCTTAAAATCAACTTAAATTATTAAACTCTCCAGTGTGCAAAAATTAAAAGAAATTAAACTATAACAAACCATCTGTGACAATGATATTGTCAGATTTCTCATATTTCTTCCAGAAAAAGGGCCTTAATGGATTCATGGATAAAAAGGATTTAGTTGTGTGTCGAGAGATCTTTGAACATTTTGAAAAGTCTGTAGAGCTGAGGAGACCGATCATGGGAGATAATAAAGAGCAGAAGGTTGGTATCATTTTAAACATTGTATATGCTGTGAATTGTGAAATCGATGTGCTCTTTATATATTGAAGTTTAAGTGCCCAAGATTTTATTTTAACAACAAACACAAAGTGTTAATGTTGAAAATGCAAATTGTTGCAATTCCAATACTATACAAATATTGAAAATCCTGGTCTCCAGATCTACCCTCCCCTTGTGTACTACTACAAATATACGAGGGTTGACCATAAAGTTCTCATAATATCTCTCTAATTTCTTTATTTTACAATATATTCTAATGTAATTTTCACAGAATGTGCAGCATAGAATGTCTTATTAATTCAGCAAAAAATATTAGTTTAACAGAAATATTTATTAAGAAATGGTTGCCATAGTAACAGGAAATCAAGGCACCCGGGGCAAATAAAAAAGAATTGAGAGAATATATATAATTTGATAAACTTTCAGTTGAAGCTGGGACTCGCTCTCACTAGACAGGCATTCAACTGTACTGAGTTTGTGTACTTAGGGGGAAATGAGTGGATGAGTAAAGACAGAGCCAAGGAGGTAGCCGTGGACAGGCTGGAAGAAGCAATGAAACTCTATGAAGAGGTTAGCAATGCTTAATAGTCTTAATCTAGTTTAAGTCACCAAAACTAATGACTGGTGTAGCAGGATGATAGAATTGCACAATTTCTGTATATATTAACTTAGTCAAGACTGCTATAACATGTATATGATTGGTCAAAACCAATCACCTTCTAGCCATGGCCTCCAGGCCTAAGTGAAAAATACAACGTGAAAGATACAAACTACAGATATTTATTACTGACTTATTTCTGAATACACTGTACTTATATTTTGCACATATTCCAGTTGCATGATGACTACCATTACGGAGATGCTCTTATCACAAGGGGTCTTTGCGAAGAGGGAGGAGAAAGGCTTAAGGTAAAAAGAAATCATATTTCATTTTATTTTATTTTATTTGCACTTTATGTTAAGAGGCCATGGGATGGCAGGGTGACAAATAAATGGAATACTCAGTTCATTGCCACCTTAATATGGTTGTTTAATGAGTATTACAGGGTCATTAACAGAAACTCTGTAAACCTAAGAATTCCTGAATGAATTTATGGAACCAGGTTATAATGAGGTCGTGGGACTATAATGAAGGCATAGTCATACAACAATGGACTTTTCGAATTCTTATGGTCAAAGTTCCCTTTTATGTAAATGTGTGGCGATCTAAACTACAATAGTGCTACATAGACTGGCCAACACACCTGTGTATCTTTGAATATTTTTCCCGGAACATGCCTTTCATACTTAATGGTGAGCCACACCAACAACATTTCAGTCTGTTCAATATGCGATACCATTTCATAAAAAGTTTTTTTGTTAATTTCAGTACTATCTAGAAGCAGAAGAGAAACTTGTGCAATCAGCTGGGAGACTTAACCCTAAAATGGACCGACTTCTATTAAACACTGGCATACATTATGAGGAGAATGGAGAATATTTTAAGTCTTATGAATATTTCCATCGTTGGTACTTAATGGTGATGGACTTGTATGGGGAGAAACATATCAAAGTGAAGAGATGTATTGATACACTTAGAGAACCATTTTATGTACGGGTTGCTAATCAACGAGGGAAGGAAATACCTGCCCCTTATGAGCCATAGTGAGTGCTGAATAAAAGGTCTGATAGCTTCGGATGGAGATTAACATGGCAGAGATCATTTGCCTCCAGGAGACAATTAAAACAGATTTAATGCAGCAGACTGTTAAGCTTATCCTTTTGCCAGCAACAATATTTTATATGAATATACACAAAAGGATCACAATCAATGATCTGCAATTAAGATTGGTGTTGTGAGTCATATATCAAGAATTTTTTTCTTAGAATTCCCTAGAAATGCTTATACATGTATTTAAATTTTAATAATGAAACGAGTGGTACTGAATGGTTATTTGGTTGGAGGGATTGGTTACTGGTCTCGGACCTCAACCAACGATTTCCATCCCTAGTCTATAGGGTCTGTTTTGGTTGAGATGTCGGCCAACCATGTAATATTATACCTGTACTGTTCTATATATGGCTGCACAGTCAATGCTCAGTCATGAAATAATGACCAATTAGGGATTTACTTATACATGTATATACAGTTTTACAAAGATCTGTCTTTGAGGAGTTTTCTCCATTTTATGCTTGAGTAAGAAGGCTATTTTGTAAATACTTTTCAAAATCTGTGATATTTAGAATAAACTAAGAGCAAGTAGGTTGTTTCCAGTTTCACCACCAGATGTCTAACTCAGGTCAGATGACATAGCAGGTACAAAATAATGTCCCCTAAACTTGAGTAATAATAGATTTAGAGGATCAAATTTCAGATATTGTGTTCAATAAATTTCTTTGAGGTCAGGAATCTTCCTGAGGAAGAAATGACACTTCCAGAGAAAATTAGAATTTCAAAGTCTGAAAGTTGATATACTGGTTTGTTGGTTGGTGGTCCAAAAAATGGGACACTCATATTTCAAAAATAAATATTGATTTTCTTGATGAAAACATGTCATATTATATACCAGTGGATAGGGAATTTACTTATCTTTAATTTGGGCTGTCATAAGTTCAAATTTATTATAATGTCTGTCAACCAGCGTCCGTTATATAAATGACGTCATTTTGGTTTCAAAATAATATATGACATGTTTTCATCAAGAAAATCAATATTTGTTTTTGAAATACTAGTGTCCCATTTTTTTGGACCACCCTGTACAATTATTGCAACCACATTAATGTGCTTTTGTATGTAGATTTTAAATTAAATATCACTTCCACTAAATTTTAAACATTTTATGATGAAAATTAAGGTTATCTATTTGCATCTAGGCTATTGAAAATGAGTGCAGTAAATGACAATCTTAGAAAAACAAATTAACAGTGGACTACTTGTATGTGTATAAAGTATGTATTTGAATCATTTATATTCTAGTTTGTGATGTACATTTATATTTTGCTGCACGTAAACACACTTATGTCCAAAGAATACCTTACATAGTTAACACATGATAAAAGCATGATAAATTGTTTTAATTTATGACTGATCTTAAAATGATGTTTCTTAATATGATTTTGTTTCTTACACGCCTACATGTAGTTATGATACATTGGAGACCTTAAGACCTTAAATCAAATACCTATTTAATAGGACTATGTTAATGGAACAGCCTGACACCAGTCATGTCTTTCTGTCCAAAAATGTTATGAAGTGTATACAACACATATGAGTATCAACCCAAGTTTGTGAAATATATGACCTGGATGAATATGTCAAGTGGTTAGAATTACTATATGAGAAGCCAGAGACACTATTCTTGAATATTAAACAAAATGGTTGGCTTTCTAAAGATATTAATATTGAACGTTCTTGTCGTCAAGGCTGCCCCTTGTCTGCAATGGCATTTATCTTGTGCTGTGAAGTTATGGATCAAGCTTTATAGCAAAATCAGAAAGTTGAAGGTTTAACAATAGCTTATAGTGAATATAAAGTTGCACTATACCTAAAATATGACAAACATGCTCTATCAACAATCAAGATATTATTGCATGGGTTTTCTGGATTAAAATTTATAAGACTGAAGGAATTTGGCTCGAAAAATGTACAAAAACTGATGAAGATATTACTTTTACAAATGAACCTGTAAAATATTTGGGCATTCACTAAGGACACAGTGAAGAGAAATGTCATAAACTTAATTTGTATAATACAACTAACTTTTAAATTTTCTATTCATTTCTTTGAATTTTTATAGGGAAATAAAAAATTAAGAAATATGTTGGTCTGTTATTATAAACTTTAACTCAACTTGTTTGAATAAACAAAGGAGAATTAAATATGATTGATTTTGAAAAACAAAAAATGTTTCATAAAATTCCATACTTTACAGTTTACAAGAACTAATATGGGGAAATAAACTTTTCATCACATAAAACAAACCAATTTTCATTCGTTCGTAAAAATTCCTGCTTCATATTGATTTCATTTATCAAAAACTTGTCAACAAGCAAAATTTTATGAAGTACAAAATGCAATAAAACTATTAAAAAATAGCAGGCAAACTTCACAAATCACAATATATAAATATATCCTTTAAACCATTAAGATTTAAATTCGTTGATTAAACAATAAATGTGAATCATCAGAAATCTAAATTTTTATATGACATTTTAAGAGGAAAAGACAGAACGTTTGTATTTAAAGATACATGGGAAAAGCAATTTTACTAAGTAAATGATGAACAATTACTGATATTGGGAAAACCATTTTGAGGCAACAGTAAAATGTAAAGAAACAAAAATTGCCATCTTTAATTTCAAAATAATTAGTAGAAACACTGTTTATATTTTATGAAATACAGAATTATAGTTGTGATATTTTGGAAATCTAGATTCAATAAAACATCATTTTTTTATTTATTTTGTTTTGGCCAGGAGAATCCGGAATTTTATTCCAGACAAATCAAAATTAAGAATTACATTTAAAAAATTATTTTGAGAAATAATGGCATTGATCCACTATACTAAATTAATTCATCGGTGTCATCCCTTTTAATATTATTAAGGCCTACCTCGGACAAATCAATGATAACAATGTAAGTAATGTATATTTTATTTTTACTATCAAGTGTATTCCTCTGTGCTGTTATCTCTGCAGCAATCTGAACCATAGAAAAGAATACCTTAAAAACCAAAGCTCCACCCAATAAATGGAATCCTAAATATGATTGACAGTTCGTAATGATCATGAGATAATTTTTTTGTAATAAGTGAAAATTTATCCCTTTTGGGAAAGTCTGTGTAACCATTTTATAATTGAAGATACTAATTATGAATGAATGTTGTTAGTGAATTAATAGTATGACTTAATAAATAATAATAGAAATAAATCAATTTTGTGCTGTTTGTTTTTTGCAATTTTTGCATCTATTTTTTGCGGATTTTAGGCCACTACTGAAAATGACTGAAAGTGAATTGCCATATGTGAAAAGGAATAGAGGTTTTTATTTTCTTGGATACATATTATTGGTGAATTGTATGCTAGACTTGATCCTCGACCTACTAGTCTGTTAAAACTAGCACACAACAAGGTATTAACATGCAAAATGTCACCACCTGTCATTTGTTACAGAAGCCAACCGAAAATACAACTGCTGAACACCAATCACTAAACACTGTCCACAAAAAAGTTGGAGAACAATATGTCATCACTTCTAGTGTGACATAAAAACCTGTTAAATATATCTATAAATAAATAAATTCTAGCCAAACAGAACACAGTTTTGAAAAAAATATGAATTTATTTCAAATATAATGTTTTACATAATCATGATATTAAGAAAATATTTCTATGAGAAAAATTTTTGAAAAAATATTTTTCCACCAGACTTCACAATGTCCTCGTGAAATCACAATTTTTTAACAAGGCATTAACATGACAAAATATCACCACCTAGTTGCTCACAATATTATGAGTTCAATCTTAAGTCAGATTTGAATTTCTGAGAACTTTTTTGAACATAAGAAGTTAATTGAAGGTGAAATCTCAAATCTATAGTCAGATTTGAACTTGTAGATGATTTTGAAAAAATGGTAAATTTGAAGCAACATGAAAAAAGACATTTTTGACCTTGAGAAGGTCATTCAAGGTCAAATCTTTTTTGACCTTGAGAATGTCATTGAATGTCAAATCTATAGTCAGATTTGAACTTCTGAGAACTTGTAGTCAGATTTGAACTTCTGAGAACTTGTAGATGATTTTGAAAAAAAGATTGGCCAATTTGATGCAAGTTGAAAAAAGACCTTTTTGACCTTTATTGACCTTGAAACGGTCATTGAAGGTCAAATCTTATATGTATGGTCAGATTTGAACTTCTGAAAACTTGTAGAAGATTTTGAAAAAAATTGAAGTCAGTCTAAACAGCATTTGTTAAGTTATTGGAAGTTGTAAGAATTTGTTACAGACGCCAACCGCCAACCACCAACCGCCAACCGCTACCAAAAAAACGAAGACCATAACAATATGTCACCACCAAAAATACTTCAGGGATTGAATGAATCTATTCAATCAGGTGTTTTACAATGTTAAGTGTTGATGATCTAGAAATCTAAACTTTTGTTTCTAAAATCACAGGAAATTCAATCATTTGAAAATTAAAAAATGATCAACTATTATTTAAAAAGTCACATTTTAACAATATTTAACATAGCACCAGACATTATAAACAATAATACAGATGCCTATTCATGACTGATCTAGTTGTTGCGACGACATATCATTATCTTGATTCTAACACATTCTAGCAGAGTACAAGTATATTGATAATATTTTAGTTCTGGATGCACCTAATTTTGTATTTGTATTTAGAGTTATTTATATTGAAAGTTTTACATATACTAGTATATGGTATTTAGAAAATATATGCGTGAGAAAAAATACAATTTTCGAAAAAATATTAACAATAACATAAATGCTAAAATAAATTGCATGCTAAAGTCATTAAACTACACAGGCATAAGAGCAAGTACATTTACAGGTAAACCATAGTCTGTACAATTCTTTAGAAACAATTGGTTTCTTTGCTAAACTTAGACTGAAATTTAAAATGTAGGTCTAGACTTGAAGTTAACCCATAAGTCTAGTCTGGAGTAGACTAAAAGTGAGCCTATAGTGGACCTGTAGGTTCAGCATAATTGCAATTTTAAATGCAATTTTAACATGAACCAAAAGTGGACTGAATATTAACCTGCTGTATATACTAAAATTAAGAGTAGACTTTAAGTTAACCTAGCCTAATCCTAAAAATAACCCAACGTTAAGATATTAGGAATTTCTAAGGTATTAACCATTTAAAGGGGATGAAACCGAAAAGCCATCTTCCTTTATTTTGCTGGCTTTCTTTACTGGCCACTGCTACAACAGACACATGTCCCTCATCATTTCTGTGTTCTGCCTCAGTTCGCTTCAACCTATTTTGAGGCGCCTCCTCACTTTCAGGCTCTTTTTCGATTTCAGGCTCTTCCTCAGTTTGAGGCTCATTTTCACTTTCAGACTCTTCCTCACTTTGAGTCTGTTCATATTCCTCATCCACATTACCAAACATTTGATCAAACTCCTCACTTTCAACTGTAGTCTCAATTTTATTCTGCTCAGTGTCGGTGTCCAACTCACTATAATCTTTATCAACATTGGGATCTTTTTCATGTGTGGCACTATCGACTGCTGTGACCACAACTTCAACGTCATTTTGAACATGTTCATCATCATTTGCAGCGAATATATGTCCCTCGTTTGATTCACTATTTGTCTGTTCATTATCATCTGTCTGAGTTGGTCTGTCTATTTTTCTCTTTTCTTCATAGTCCATGAATCCTTCATCCTTAGGAGCATTTGGCAACTGAGCATCGGTTTTGTATTCAGCATTTACAACATCAACTGTCATTGGTTCTGTTGAACCACTTCCGATTATTTCACCACCAACAAGTTCAGTTTCAGCGCCACCTGATCCACTTCCATCAACTCCACTGCTCTCCTCTCCACTTCCCTCCTCTCCAGACCCACTCACGTCTTCATTGGAAGCTGTGTCCTCCTCTTCTGAGAGGCTCTCATCCACTGCAAGAATAAGGAATACGAGGAATGTAATAATATATGAGGTTGTATAATTTTAATTTAACTACTATATGTACGGGTATAAGCATCACCTGTGGTGCCACCTGTTATTAATAATATATATACACATAATGATTAAATGTATGAATAAATTGAATTGAATTGAAAATTGAATTGAATTAATGGTTGATTCTGTATATGTGTTTATACTCAAGTGAGTATATCATGTACTCACAAGAGTATAAAGAGACACAAAATCAACAATTACATGATCTTACCATCCCACCCTAAGTGCTTTACAAAAAAACATAATAAAAATCTTCAAAAAAAGTTAATCTAAATTGAGCAGTTGTATATCAAGTCAAAGAGTTAGTATATACTGCCCAGGAGGTGTATACGCTATCCAGGAATTGTATATCGTTCGAGTTGTATACAATGAGTGTTATATTGCAGTTATACCATGCTATTATATAATCATTTAAAGCACTTAGGGTGGGATAATTACATTTACAAAACCCAGGTTACAAAACCCTTGTAAGGGGCCCAAAGACAATTAAAACATTTATTGGTGGCTTTTTTGTGAATCAGGTTCAAAAGTCTTGATTCATCTTGTAAATAGACCAATATTATCTATATTTTGTAGATATTTTTTCAAACCCTTAATTGCGTTGTATTGTTATGTATCTTCTATTTGATTCTGCAACAATGATATTTTACCACTATGCCAATTTTTCTATAATGTTTGAGGTAGGGCTGTCAGTAAGTCAGAAAAACAAATTAACAAAATCTATTAATTATCATAGAATTTCAAAATGCAAAACCAATAATGAAACTTATTGTTGAAATATCATTATGGGAAATGCCCAAAGTTTTATGTAGTGTCTATTTTTGTTGTTCTCGTAGATTTGTAGAGCTTTATATATGTATTTGAGACTGCCACATACTACTAACAGCATTTCATCTTATTATTCTATTAACGGTTTTTAAAATGCTTTACATACTGTAGAATATATTTTAAGGCTTCGAAAACATTTTAAAAATTTATCATTTTTACAAACAATTCACTTTGAAACAAAATGACATGAACGCATTGGGCATCAAAATTAATGAGTTAAAAATCACAAGCATTTGTAGTCTAGTATTTCTTTAATGTGTTTAAGTACAAGCAAAATAAATTTAACAAACTGAAAAAAGTTTGGAAATTAAAGTTCAAAATCAACCAACATACTGAGGACATAGCCCATATAATATTAGACATAGATTTCAAATACAAAGCTAAAAACAATTAAGTTGACTAAATTAAATAATAAAGAAATTTGGATAATAACTCAATATTAAGAGTATATGATTAGAAATGCAATGAAAATAATTCATGAACAAAAATTATTTTGGAAAAGTTGTTGCTTTTTATTATTATGTTTGTTTGTTTGTTTGTTTGTTCGTCTTTATTTCCTTCTCGAAGAAGAGCTTTTGCGATTGACTACCATACAGTAGAAAAATAATGAAATGGAAATACTTTACAGTAATAAAATAAAAAGTAGATGGGACAGAGACAAGTTTTTAAAAGATTGCCCAAATTTTTGAATATATTTTGCTCTCACCTCATGTGACAATTTCGACTTAATTTCAGGATAATCCTTTGATTTTCATGGTTATCTTGATGAAATTGAAAGAAGGCAATAACATCCAAAGTGTCACCACCTGCCATTTGTTACAGATGCTGATCTATGAATGCCAAACACCAACAAGTGAGTGATTGCAAAAGCTCACCATGTGAGCTAACAACCTATACAAAGAAGTTTTGGTGGTGCCATAAAGATAGTATGCCTATTTTATACCCAAAAATTAGATATATCTACATTCTTAAATCTCCAATAACATGATGTTTGCTCATATTTATTTGAACAGATACCCCAATATATTTTTCAGAAAATAAAATTAGGATTAGAAGGAAAACATTGACATGCTTTTTGAAGATACTTCCAATATTTTAATGTAAACTGAAACTACAACCATTTCTGAATAAAATTACCTAACGATTCCAGGCAAAAATATTATTTTCCAGATTCTTTTGCTTTGCTCAACCAGTATATCAATACTTTATAAAAAAAAATATTTTTATGATATTTTTACTTTTATTTTTTAGCTCTGATATAGAATTATTTCAATTTAATCCCTAACAATTTAGGCCCTCTTTGACTATGCGTGTATTTCAAACTCCCTACATTTCCATGGCATTTCCATGTTTGAACCCTGTGTAATGTTATCCCAGTCCATTTTTCAATTATATGATCTGAAATTGCTGACTTATTCAAAACACTCTCTACAGTCTTCTACTTGTCATTTGAATTGAACATTTTCATCAACTTCTTTAACTTTTTATGTTCATGAAATAGGAAAACAATATGATCATTGTTTTAAAAAAAATTAATAGAGGTGTACATATCATATTCTAGTAAACCATTTAATTGTCTTAATTGTCTGTTCTTCAGTGAAAAATAATAGAAACAGATCACATAGATGGAGTAAAGAATTCATGTAGATTGAACAATTCATTTCTATATATATTAATGAAATTCAACCGCTAAAGAAATAAAATTTAAAAGTTTTAAAAATTGTATTATATATTGTATGTTGATGACAAAATGATTTTACATTAGAGAATCAAAATTCACTACTAGATATCAAGATTTTCGATACAAAATCAACTTAAAATCAAAATTCAATTTTTTCTATTATAAAAGTTCTTAAAAAGAGAAATTAAGAAATGCTAATGCACAAGAAAATAGAAATTTGCATGTAGCACATAAACTGTATAAATAATGAGGCAAAAGTTTTCTATTTTCACTTTATTAATCACTTTCTGACTTGTTTTCTTTTAGGATATTCTGAAACAAACAAGATTTGTGATGATTTGTGCTGTGATAAATTAATATTTAGAATACAACTGTTCATGTATTTTGTATCAACTTAAAAGAAATTTATGATATGATGAGGAACACTAAAATAACTGAAATTGTAATGTAATTTAGTATTTGTATATAAACAGCTAAGTCAATCGTAATAAAATATAGACAGGTTCCAATTCTAATAATTCAAGTTTTTGAGGCATTTTTTAGAAAAAGCAACAGACCTATTTTCACTCGATCAATGTTTCATGCTGATAAAGATATTAAAAGATGACAGCTCAACGGGGTGGTCACGACACTGAATTTTGGCATTTTTACCCCCCTAGGAAAATATTTTAGGGGGTACTATGAAACTAGTTCATAACTCAAAGGATATATGAGCTATTGTTCTGAGTTGTACACCATACATTGCTAGTACAAATATGAATACTATCCTAAAGTTATAGGTTGATACCCTTATTGGTCTCAGAAAAAATACAATAAACAGGAAAAAGATACGCAATTTTTGTCTTGCCAATTTTATATTTGTAGCTTCAAGCAAAATATGACAGCTTAAACAGCTCATAGTAGTATTCTAAAAACATTTCCAAGCTATGTGCGGTATTGTAATACATCTATTTTAGTTATGAAGTACTATTTTGTAATTTTAATATGACTTTATAGTGCCCTACCTCTGGAAAATTGAAGAAAGTGGATGTGGTGAATTTTATCGTTTTGCAGCATTAAGTTAGAAACATGTATTGATAGACACCAAATCAATAAATTCATACCATCATCAAATGTTAGGTGACATTCTAATTCATTTATTACTAGAATATAGGACTTAAGATATTTTATATGTAAGTTTTCAATTTAGTACATGTATCATAATGAAATCTAGTGTGATCACATACTAGAGAGGACATTGACATAAAGTCTAAACATTATAATCATCAATTGATCTCATTTGAGCAACTAGACTATGGTGGTCATCATGCACAAGTAATGTACTTCAGTGCCCCATGTACTAGGGCACGAGTCATTTGAGCCATATATACCTCCTTTACAACCCATTCAGAAGGGTCATTTACAATGTGCAAAACATGGCAAAAGTTCCGTAAAACTGTTAGTTCTCATTATCTGACCATATAGCAGAGTCCTCATTAAGCCATGATGCATCACAGCCATATGTTAGAAAAGTAGCTAAGAATCTTTTTTATTCACCAAAGATGACTTTCCCACTGATGGTGCCTCACACTTGTATAACTTAGTGTAACTTATTTATTATTATTTGGGAGAATTTGAACATTTCCCCCTTTTTACACTTTGAATTTTAAACAACATTACCAATAAATAATTTATATTGTGGATCTTTTGGGAGATATTATATTTGAGATTGTACTTTCAATTGCTTTCAATTTTGTTTACATAGATCTGATTCTGCATTTAAATACCAAGACGTCAGTTTACTTCAACTGTCATGACTAAAGCATTTGATAGTATTTACATAATAATGTTATAAAGGAGCATGTAGGTTATCGCAAACAACTTCAGAAAATGGTCCTTTTTCCATATAGCTTTGAAATCTCGTTAAGGTCTTGTTTTTAATGAGATTTTAGGAGATCAGCATTTTTTACCATTAAAAACTAACGTTTTCTTCCATCTGATGGCATATTTGAATTCTGTGAGTAATTCTCTATCAAAACAACTTTGATTTGCACTGTTATTTACCATTATTCAAATTCTAATGATTTTCTGGTTGTCTAAAAAAGGTCGGGCTAAATCCCCATTGACAAAATGCTGAAAAACCTTTAAAAGTTCATTTACTCTTACAAGGATCACAATTTTAATGTGAAATCACAATCCACATGTCAATAAGATCATATAGTTACATTCCAATGATGTTTTAAGTTGATCCAAATGGAATAACTTCTTGATGCCATCTATTTTCCATTTATATAAAAAAGGTCAATTCTAACTTGAATTATGAATATTTTCTGACCATGAACATTGGTATATCTTTTAGATCTATTCATTATCTTCAAGAAGAGTAAATATAATGATTAATCAGACCTGAGTGATATTAAAGGGAATGGCCCAATCAACATACTTTTTAGTAAAAATGATGACCTAGTTTTTACCAAAGATGCAACCTTTAATTATATTGTTGGATGCATAATTAAAATATGCTTTGAGACATGTTATATTTCCTAAGAGGAAAAGTGGATTGCTCCAGGGACTTTAAAGACACTGAATTTGGATGACCAAAATGAACTGAAACCAATGGACAGCATGAATTTTTTCAAAGGGGAAATAACATGGGGAACACTAATCTTAGGGGAATTCAGTTTCTTTTGAAGAGCTATTTGATACATTAAAATAAAGAATAGTAATGCATCAAACATTGTTAAAATGATTCCATTTTTGGTGAAAATGAGGTCAACAACTTTAAAAAAATATATTGATGGGTTGATTGCTAGTGAAATATCTACGAGTCCAATTGACTTTATTATCAAATTAAATATGCGCATGTCAAATTTGGCCGACGAACACTGATTGGGGCGGTGAGTTCACAGGTTTATTTTAGTTTGAAAGAGTGAAGACGAAGCTCTTTTTTAAGAAGTGAAGTCAAACGAATGCAAAGGGTAACCAAATTTTTGACATGTCTTCAAATACGATAGTATTTTCTTCATAAGATAGAGTGTCACTTGTGAAATTTATTGATTGACCTGAGATCGTATCATATCTTTATGACATAGAAGCGAAATAGCCATATTGATCTTTAATGAATGTTGTTTGCTAGTTTTCGACAATTGAGTCAAAATTTGGGGGTTTGGGGAAGGGGTGCAATTAGGTTAAAAACGTGATTAACCTGATTCAGACTATCCTTAAATGAGCACTGAGTCATCCGAGAGCATAACTTTTCCAAAACATGTTAGTGTTATTTTTGGACCACTCACATTAATATTTCGTCTAATTTTCCCTCAGAGTTTCCTCATCATTGTCCAAATCTTTGGCCATATTTGTTGAGATATATGAATGTTCATTATTAAAATCTTGCCTTCCTTTGCAGTTGGAGAAGACTCGGTATTAGGTGTTATAAGTCCCAGACCACGATAAATAAAAAAACAAAAAAAAACAAAATGACATAGAACTGATAAACGTTTTCTCTTGTGCGTGTCAGCCATGGTCTACCAAATTAATTGCTATTCGGTGGGAAGAAACTCATTTTTCAGTTTCCATTTTAATTTCCTGACAAATAGAGCGATCATCCCAGCATTTTTTCTATGATCTATGTGTCGCCATAGCAACTTCTGTTTTAGAGAACAATAAAACAATAGAAAAGATTACTTTACCATAATTCTAATCATCCTACATTGTAGACATATTTAGAATTAAAAATATGAAGAGAATGACAAAACCTCTTAAAACACATTTCTTAGGAAACAAATAGTGTGGTATTCTTGTTACTATGGCAACAGAGTTTTTTCTTTTTGTCATACAGATTACCTATCATACCAGGACCAAATCCTGAAAATTTGAATTCAGTATCTTCATTAGTATCTTAGATATATAGGTTTCTTATAGTATCCCCTGCAGATTTCATCGGAGTATAAGGAAAATGCTCTGAAGAGGGATGCCCAAGAATGCCACTTAACAGTTCTGGTATTTTTGAGGTCCCAACCCTCTATTCATGGGAATAGTTAACCATTGTAAAGCTTCTCATGGTAAACTGACAGAATTGATTGTATCTTCAACTAAGAAGTCAATAAAATGTTAAAACCAGAAGAAAACCACACCAACTTTCTTCTATTTACCAGGGGTAGGGCACTATAAAGTCATATTAAAATTACAAAATAGTACTTCATCACTATAATAGATGTATTACAATATCACACATAGCTTGGGAATGTTGTTAGAATACTACTTTGAGCTGTTAAAGTTATCATATTTTGCTTGAAGCTACAAATATAAAATAAGCAAGAAAAAATGACAAAAATTGCATATTTTTTTCTAATAAATTGTATTTTTTCGAAACCAACAAAGATATCAACCTATAACTTAAGGATAGTATTCATCTCTGTACTAACAATGTATGCTGTAGAACTCAGAACAATAGTTTATATATCCTTTGAGTTATGAACTAATATTATAGTACCCCCTAAGATAATTTCCTAGGGGGGTAAAAACGCTAAAATTCAGTGTCGTGACCACCTCGTTGAGCTGTCATCTTTTAATATCTTTATCAGCATGAAAAACTGATCCAGAAAAAATAGGTCTGTTGCTTTTTCTAAAAAATGCCTCATAAACTTTTTCCCTTGAGATATTCTGAAATTGGAACCTGTCTAATATGATTAAACATTGTTTTTTAATTATTTTGCTATTTCAATTGTCCCAGTTGTATATCATTTCATATAATTGATATGTAAGTTTTGTTATTTCTAAAAGTTACACAATAGAGTCTCTTAATGAATCAGTCAACAAATAAATACCAAATAATAATAAAAAAAATTGCAAAACTGACAAAAATGTCAAATTTAATTCAGCAATATGACTTACCCATAGCTGGAGTAGGAATTTCTGTCACAGGTGTTTTAACAGATTTATCTTTAACCAATATTTTTTCAACTTCATTTTCTAAAATCTTTCGATCAATTTTGATCTCTTTTTTATTGTCATCTTTCTCCAATAATTTCATGACTTCATATTCATACTCAACCAGCTTTGATATTATTTTGAACTTCCTTTTTTGTTCTTCAATTTTTTCTGTCAGATCTTTCACTTTAGCTTCTTCTATTTTATGTTCAAGTTCATGTATTTTTTCATCTTTAAGCTCAAGTTCAGAAATGATGTTTTTCTCTTCCTCTGGTATTGGTTTTCCAAGTGTGATTTTAGCATGTCCCAACACAAGTAGAATTAAACACGATCTACATGTCACTTTTAGACCCATTATCGCTAGCGGAATATCGGAGTTGTGTTAAAAAGCGTAATCGTGACTAAACTAAAACAGTTTACTTAAATCGTCGTTTAAATAGAATTTCAAATGATGATGTCATCACAGTGTCTATCACTAATGATACTACCCAAGAATAAAAATTCAAGTCAAAATATCTGAAAATGAGAAAAAAGAGTTGAAAAGAAACATCCAGATTGGAAAAAACATTATAACTTCATTGAAATCAACATAAAACACAAAAAGATAGTAAAAACATTGATTTATAGAGAAAATTCATGAAATATATATGAAAGGAACATTGTAAACAAAGTTGCCCTGATTTATTCAGGCCAATGCATTACCTTAATTATATGTCTGTATGTCAATAGAAAGGACATTTTTTGACAAATCTTTGTTTTGTCTTAAAATAAGGTTATCTTAACCAAAATGTCCCGATTTACAATTGCGTCATTTTTTGATAATCTTTAATCACAACAGCAGTTTTATGAAATTCTCCTTCATCATTACACATTACTTCTTAACATGTAATAACAAGGAAAGGTTCATGGTTGGAACTGACAAGGTGAAATGTTCATGAAAAAATGAGAACAAACTAATAATGCTTTAAATTACATGAGGGTGCTTATTAGAGAGTGAGCGCCAATTACAGAGAATCAGGAATGTGTTTTGAGAGAACTTGTATGTCAATGCGTAATATCACAACCCTAAGGGACTTCTGATTCTGACCCCTCTCAATTCAATTCTCCAGGGAACTTATAACAACTGTGTTTGTGCACATATAACCATAATAAATATTCTAGATGTTCATGTCTTCTCAAAATTAATTTAATCTCCTCAATATTCCTACCATTAAACTGTAATTAAAAGTATATTGTAAAAGACATTTTACATGAAATATATAACGATACCATCACAAGTAATTTACGTGACGAAATGTCATTTGGTGGCGACATGAAAATGAAATACACAAATCTACTTTTAAAAATGCCACTTCAAATGCCTATCAATTTTGCATACCATAAGAACTTTAACACTAATGATCCCCAACTCACTAATTGATAAACAAGCTGAATTGTTGTCCTACCTTTGTTTTGACTTTCCAGTAGACCTATGCCGTAAACAGGATCATGCAGCATTCTTCAATTTGTTTATTCAACAAAATTACTTGTTTCCAAGGTTGATAGCTCGAGCATATGTGCCTAAAATAAAGAATTTGATGTTAAGACATTTTTGAAATATAAGGGAGTTGTATCTTTTGTGAAATTGAATGACTGCAATTTTTTACATAATTATTTTATATTAATACAATATTGAAGAAGCATTGATTTTATTTATTACAAGAAGATACATAACAAGCTAGTTTTTGAGACATCTGGACTATTGAAAAGGAAAGTATATACAGTGAAACCTGTAAAATGGAACACCTCTGTTAGAGGAACACTTCTCAGAATCCCAAGACTAACTGACTTAATGTTAAATGAACCCCTTTAAATGGAACACCTCCCAAGTGGAACACTTTTTAGAGTCCCGTGACTGACTGACTAAATGTTAAATGAACCTCTTTAAGTGGAACACCTCCCAAGTGGAACACTTTTTAGAGGAACCAAAGGTGTTCCACTTAGACTGGTTTTACTGTATATAATCGTACTTGACTAGACTCACTCTGCCTTGTTGTCTCTCACCCTCAATATTGAAGAGATCTTAGGGGAGAGCTTATTGATATTATTTTAAGAACAGCCTTGATTATAATGATTATAGAAGGAAAAAATAAACAAGTCATTTCATAAATGTCTAGTTCAGATAAACTATGTACAGATGTAAGTACCTGACTAGACTAGATATGTGACATTTCCCCTTTTGCTCTCTCAAGTTTTTGATGTAATGGAAGAGCTTTTATGATATCAGAATTTTACAAACAGCAACCTTGACATTAACTCTACTTAAAGAAATTAAAAACGTCTGGTTAAAAATGTCTGGTTCAGCAAAACTATCTCAAAACTATGTCGAGACTTGACTAGACAAGTTAAATGTGAAATGCCCACACCCTTGATCTCAGTCCTCACCTTTCTCTCAACGTCTGGTTCAGTAAAACACCGCACTTGACTAGACTTCCCAAGACTGACACGTATCAACTTTAGCCCAAGTGTTCATTCAAGCAAATATTATATACACTGTATATATCTTTCACTGTTTGGCCATAAAGCCACCATTGACAGGAGTGGACCCGCAATGGGAGGGGCAAAAAATTATTTGCATCTCAGAAAAAGTAAGGTTCTTTAATTTTATTAAATTTGGGCTAATATTTAGAATATTGATACTCATTTTCCAACTTTTCTTGGTATTACATATGACAAAAATTTGAACACTTAAATCGTATCTTGAGGTCTTAAATGTATGAGTTTCATGTTTGCAATGTAAAAATAAGTCACACACAGTTAGTTGCCATTATTTTGGATATTCCTTAAAATCTAAAATGCTTATTGCATGTCTGTGGGGATTTCAAGTTAGTCTGACTGTTACTTCTTGAGATATCCCTTTATTTTTATGGTACTATCGTCCTATTGTCAACTGTAATGATGATGGACATTAAATATATAACACCTGAGCAAACAATGACACTGGTTCAAAAAGAAAAGGCCATAACAACTATGTGTTACCATTTCTTGGAGGTTTGGAGGTGGGATAATAATCATATCCAAAAAATTACATGTATTGTTCTTATGACCTTACCTGACCCAGAAAGATTTCAAACTACATGTAGTAAAAAAAGATGCTGTCAAATTCATGAATTAACCTTATGGTTATGGGATATGTATTACTAGGAATATATTTTTTGTCTTGACTCCTGGAGTCCAAAATCGCGTTGCCATAGTACTGTATGGGTAGCATTCTTTTATCCATACATTTTTCATGTACAATGTATATAAAAAGAAACAATGAGGATTTGTGGCAAATGACTTCTATAAACAATTTGATAAGAAGAACAAGAAATTTGATAAGTGACCTATTTTGCAATTTGTTTTAAAACATGTTCTTCAATAAAGGTTACAACTGTATTACAGAGAGTAGAGAATCAGAGAAAGATTACAATAAAAAATTAAAACAATTCTTCACATAAATTATGATTCAGAACGAAGTCAAATTGTTCCATAGATAATTCCCCAATCAATAATATAAGTGCATTAAAGAATGTTAACAAATGAGGTTATCTTATGTCCGTGTCCTGTTTGCTATCATCTGACCAATGGACTTTGCCAATTTTGTCAAGTATTGGTCATTGTGGTCAGTATGCTGGTCAAAAAATGAATAAATAAACCTTCAAGAAATATATAATCAAAACACTTCAATTAAGAGATGACACAAAAAGCTGAAATGTAAATATACCTAAGAATAGTTTAGTGCTATTAAAAATTAAAGAAACTCTCAACAATTGCATGAAAATGTCTGAATTATTCTTCAATTCCAAGCAAGCATTTTTCTGAATATGATGAGTTAAATCTTAAATTTTCTTATCATTGAACAATGAACACACAACGTTTTGTCGAGATAAGTAATCTCGGGTGGTTCCCCTGCTTTTGATTTGGTTTGAAATCTACAAACAAGGCACTATCATGAAAAAATGACCACCACCTGACCTGATTATAGTACAAAAATGGCAACATTTCGTTATAATGAAGGTGTACTCATTTTAAAAAATGCCAGATTGCACAAAAGGTTGAATTGAAAAACTAGGTGCAAATTACACAAATATCCTTGATAAGTATAATCTTATAATACAATACATATGATCAACAGAATTGTGTATCATAAATGGTACTGACTTGTTTTTTGTAAAAGATGCGATATGTTGAAGACAAATAGCCCATTTCTCTAAAATGAGGCAAACAAACGAAATGTGACCACTTACAAGTATAAACTCCCACTATGAACTCAAATGAATATGAGCACCAGTTCAGACAAAGCCAGTTATCATTTGTTCAAAAATTGACTGACTGACAGATGGATTGATGAATGGATGGGCAAGTGGACGATAGGCTCAACATATAAGCAAAACTTGTTACTATCTGTTACATATGCCAAATGTTGACACCAAATATCAGCCAAATCAACTGTTGGCTAGGACAATACATCATCACTTGGTGACGTAATTAAAAATAAAAAATATGATTAACACACATTTTGAAGTGCACATACAATGTACACACATAACAGAATATCATATCAAAAGAGTCCTACTCGACTCAAGTGCCGTTCGAGAATAATAAAAATTAGCTTGTTTTTTTGCTAACTAAAAACAAACAGGTAACCTGTCCTTGATACCCTGGAAATTAGGTAATATAAGTCAAAAGGGCACCTAGAAAATTAAAAAACAAACATTTCTAAATAGAAAAAAGTTACAAGGTCATTTCGAATGAACTGCACGAATATAGGCCCTGAAACCTATTTTCCTATATCAAATCACATTCTCTAGAAATACCATTTTGAGGTGACCCCTCACTCGCAAACAAACTTAAAATAATATTACACATGTATATAAATAATTAGCTTTTATTTCATATTGCAACTTAGCTTCAAACATCCATGAAGATGATCATTTACTATTATAATGATCATGTTCTAATTATATTATTAATTGTAGTACAACCCTCTACCCTGTTTATAATTCTCAAACGGCAAGATGTGCCCCCCTCCCCCAGACACATCCCTTGTAGAGATGTATCAACAAAACTTGAGATAACCTCTGGCCTATGAAGCCTGCTTGATGACGAACCATGTCTCTAATCTACACACATATACATGTAAGGGAAGGTGTCCAATTACCCCAATGACGTTGTGAAATAATGGAGTTAGTTTCGTCAGGGGAGGAGGTAATTGATGGTTTGGTTTCATATAGTTTTGATATTTTTAAACAAAATATATATCAACATTTTAAAATTTTGTAAGATGAAGGAAGGGGGATCAAACCATAACGAAATTAAATTCATTTTTCCACAAAGTTTTGTTGGAACAACCTTGACTGGATTATATAGCATTTGACAATGTTATAATGGTCAAGCTTTATGAAGAAGTTAAATGTACAGGAAAACCTGTCTGATGAGAATATATTATAATTTGTTAAGTTGTAACCAAATGAAAACTGTCAGACTAAAAGCTTTCAATATGTTTTCCTATAGTCAGGTTTAACTGAAGTACAAATAGCTTATTAACTCTCCTAGAAATACATGAAGAACAGGGTCCAGTTGATTGAGAAAACTACATTCATGACTAAGTTAATCTGTAGTAAAAGTGATTTTAAACAACTAGGCCCACAATGATGATTCTGACTATCGGGAAAGTTCATGTCGGGAATACACATCCTATCTGTCATTAAGTAGAGATTGCATATACTATAACTAAGAAGCCATTGAATTGTTTTAGTTCCATTAAAAATAAAATACATTAAAAGTAAAAATACATTCCTAGTTTGAGTATCAGTCTATCATGGACACAGTGTTATGATTTCTTCGAAAAATTGTCCATTTATTCCATTGCGTATGACCAATCCATGCCTCAAATTTTATTCATATTTCGATTAATTTCATTTTGGCAAATAATTCATTCAATCATGATTTCTCACAATAATTCCATTGCTACACATTATAAGAAAATAATTTGTTAAGATACAAGATGGCACTTTCCATATACAGCAATGCCATAATTGCATATATTCCATAATTCTGGTTATGCTATAATTGCGGCTATCACAAGACTTGGTTATTGAATACTAGCAACTGCTTTCCTAGCTGCGTCCCCTAGGTCATCAGCTGGGGTTATAGGAAGACCGCTCTCTCGTAGGATCTTTTTGGCTTCATCTACATTGGTACCTGCAGATTGAAATTTGTTGTATTAGCTACTTTTATTGTAGGTTATAGATTGTATGCTACATTATTGCATGTGTATTGAATGGTTTACATTTTGTCAACATTCAGTTTATACTAATCTCCTTGGTCATATGCATTATGTGAATTACAATAATAACAATATGCTATTACATGGTGTGCAACAATATTTAGTTTTTTTTAAACATTTCACGTTATTTTATGTTTGCTCATTAGTAAGTGTGCTACATTTTTTGTAAAATAAATGAAATCTTTCACTGGAATTATTTGTTAATTGCACTCTTACCTTCTAAGCGAACAACTAGGGGTACAGACAGGTCCATATTCCTACAGGCATTAGTGATGCCATTGGCTATAGTTGCACAGTTAACGATACCACCAAATATATTCACCAGGATTGACTTAACCTGCAAGCAGAGATGTTAAATAAAAGTTCACAAATAAAAATCATTTTTTCATTCTATGGGAGTTTCCTTGATCATCCCCTCTTATACTTGTATACTGTTTGTGCATTGCATTGAAAAGATAACTAGCTGAGTATATTACAAGGACATTCTTAGCTACTTGAGAAACCATGAAAACAAGATATAATAGTAAGTGAACAATAAAACTAGGAATTATAAGCAATTTGAAACTTTTCTATGGTTCACTAACATAGTCAAGAATAAGGATATACATGTAATATAATGTCATGATAAGAGAACAATGGACTCATTAACTTTTAAATTCCTAAGTTTTATGAAGTTTATGTTAAAGGCCCTCAGTAATGCACAATTTCTAGTTTCTCCCGATCAGATCCTTATGGGCCATCGTCTAATAAACATTTCACGTCACATATCTCTTATTCTGAGAGGTTTTGAGCCAAATAATTGCAGTTTTAGTAATTTCCTATGTTGCTAATAGGGACAATTCCACAGACAAATGCTCTAATGTAATCCAATTCTGTTCTACTCAGTCTACATTAACAGATGATCTACATAGTGTGTATATGTTTAAGCAGAGGCACCTGTTCATCAGCAGTCAGCAGTTTGAAAGCCTCCAGAACCTGAGCTTCTGTGACACCACCCCCAACATCAAGGAAGTTAGCAGGTTCTCCATTGCTGAGCTTCACAATGTCCATGGTGGCCATAGCTAGACCTGCACCATTTACTGCAACACAAGTACAAGCTCAATCAATGCTTGATTAAAATCAAATAAACTGTACAAAGGTTGGTTCATATGGATTTTAGTTGCATCTGTCAGGCTAAAAAAACTTCTGAAGCAGAAAACTCCCTCATTTTCTTCTGTACAGTGTATTTGAACTAGCTGGAGGCAAGATTATCTATTTTAAGTAATTTAAGTGTAGTTGGTCAAAAATCAGTGCTTTGCCACTGCCAATTAATATTTCATGATGTCATACTGTGAATATGAATATGGTAGACAATATGATGAATATGATTTTATAGGCATTCAATGTACCTTTTATTTCTTCAAAACAAAACAATCATAGAACCCATCATTTGATTGACAGCTTAAAAATATCCCCCTACAACTTGAACCTGAATATAATCAAAGTAGTCAAACTCTAGATACTCTCAATATCGAATGTTGTAAATTAGCATGGGCTTCCATGATATTAGATAGGACAGTAAAGATAAAAGATAACCAGATAGCATATTTATGAAGGAAATCATCATGATTTCACAGATACATAGTTATCTACAGTACATGTATATGAGATAAAACAGATATATTTACAAATCTACTATCACATGTGAATACATGTGCTACACATTATTGCAATGCATACTTGAGTATCATATGATACAGTACTTAACTGTACTGTACTGTACTGTATTGTACTGCATTGTACTGTTGTAAACTGAACTGTATACTGTAAATGACCCTATACTGTTGTTGAAATATATGGATTGTGGAATATTTAACATTTCACAAAAATCAGTAAATGGTCTTTACTATGAGAATTACATGAAAGAATGAATTTTGCATGAAAGAATGCAAGGGTAGAAGTTTTAAAATTTCCAGTTAAAAATGTAATCCAGGAAATCCTGATTAGTCTGAAGAATACGCCCTTTTACCAGTATATTCTCTAAAATTTCAATGATTTCTTGCAAATAAGTTCCTGGGAAATGAATAATGTTTTTAATTACAAATATTTGAAAAATCTCCATTCATTAAAATGTGAGAGGGCATTGAAAACAGGAAATCAATAGGAACTATTTCATATGATCAATGGTGTATCTTAGAATTTATCTTGCAAGCTTCTCTGAATGATTGAACTACCATATATATTATACTTTCTTACCAAGACAGCCTATATTTCCATCCATGCCAATATAATTGAGGTTGTGTTCAGAAGCCTTCACCTCTCTCCAATCAGTTTCTGAGGTATCATTGAGTGCGAAAATATCTTTCTGTCGAAATTCAGCATTATCATCAAAGTTTATTTTTGCATCAAAGCATACCACTATAAAAGGGATGAATCAAACATTTTCTTTCAATCAAATACTGCATAATTTTAAATAAACAAGAACTTTTATAATGTATTTGTACTTAAACCAAAATTTTATGACATTTTGATACAATTCCGTTTGAAACACTTGTCCATCAAATGCAATTCTGCTTATTGAGGTATTTGGACTTCTCTTCAATCTGAAAAGGAGCCCAGCACAGAAAAACAGATGAGAATAAGATTGTGTCATGTGTAATATTTTAATCTTATAAGGAGACACATTCACTCCTCCAAATCAAAGAGCTCTATCATGTAAAGGAGTATTCCAATTACCTTCGCCATCTGGTGTTTCACCAAAAGGATTAATTTCCACCTGAGTTGCATCTACCTTCATAAATAATTTATATAGTTGTATAATTTGTTTAGCGGCCTCTGTTTGTCGAGGTCCAGTGAACTCTAGAAATCCTGCCATCTTCATTGCTTGTTCCATAGTGACGCCATCTATAGCTATTGGCTCCTGGAGATGACATACAATTTCATATTTTAATAAAATTCTGATGCCTGTTTATATATTGATTTAAGCAGTCATTTTCATCCTTTCAATTGCTATCATGAGTTTTTTGATATATACTTTTTTACAATCAATTTAAAAAATAATTTTTCATTAGTTATAACATGGGCTTTCAACTAGATAATTGAAAGCCCATGGTTTTAGTGTGGGCTTTCAACTAGAAGCCCATGGTTTTAGGGCTTGTTTTTTGATTTTCTAATATTGGTCTTTGTACTTCTACATCTGATGATATGATGCAAGGTTATTTTGTTCTAAATTGTTCTGATATTAAAATGAAAAAATTGTTCTGTGAATATCTTACAAATTGTTCCATTCCAAAGTCAAACATTCTGAAGATTTTTTTGTTCTACAAGACCTCTAGATACAGTACAATACTTACTTTCATTATTTTATCGGGATGTGTTTCCGCAACCTCTTCTATATCAACTCCTCCCTCTGGACTGCCCACCATGACAGGACCACTAGCCTCACGATCCATCAAGATCGCAAAATATGTCTCTCTCTCGATGTCTAGTGCTTGGGCCACCATCACCTTTAATTAAATCACCATTCAATTGATCATGTTCAATCTCCAGATGATAAATTGAAACAAGGAATAGTGTTTTGCTGACACACAGGCATGCATACTGTACTGCTACTTAATCTTGCTGTCATTTTAATTTAACGCAAAATTGTTAAAGTCCGCCAAATTAAGTAGCCGCCGAATTCCCTGGTAATTTTTGTCCCATGTTAATTAGTACCATTATTGCCTGCATTGTAATATTGCAAGTCCGCCAAATGTTCAAGACAGCAAATCCGCCAAAATAATGAAAAAAATAATGAATCTTTTCATTTATGATATGAACTACATCTTTTGCCAGTGAATCAAGTGTTTCTCACCCAATACCTTTCCTGGAGTAACAGTAAGAAAATATTACCTGGTAGACTGTAGCGCCATCTTTACTGGTTTGTTTTGTTTTCAGTTTGTGACCCACCATATTTGAGATCATTGGTCCAACTTTCTCAACACTGGAAAAAACATGTACTTTATGCATATAATTTATGTGGCTGATAATGCTATTGCCTTAGCCATCCAGAGTTGTACCTTTATTAGAATTCTTTGTGAAATTTGATCTGCTCTAGAATGTAGCTTCTGAAGATTGGTGTTCTGGATGACAACTATCAGATATATCATGGCCTCAAGACAGTCATAGTTATTGCAACAGTTGTTATGACTTAGAAATATTAACATATCATTTAGGGAGAATTCTATATAAATGTGTATGCCATATATGTTACCTACCTGGTAGGTGAATACTTAGCTCCAATGTAATGTGTATCACTGATATCACATCAAAAAGAACATTGCATACTCTATTTATTTCCAACATTAAAGTTCTATTACATGAATTAAATAGCCTAAATGCAATTTTACCGCGTACCGAGTCAGCATCATCTTAGTGAAACATTTGCAGCATAAATTGTTCAATGAATAGCTAAACAGTGTGGTACTCACTCTTTAGTTAAATGCACTCCTCCCTTGTAGCCATTATCAAATACACCTTTACCTCGACCACCAGCAAGAATCTGAGCCTTAATGACCAGTTCCTTGGCTCCTACAAAACAACACATGGAATAGGATAACAAAACTGCTATGTAAAACTATAGACGTAGTAAGACACAAATATACAAAATAGCTGTTCAAATTTTCTATTGGACGCATTTTTGGCCATTTGGGAAAATAAAATGGGAAAATATTATTTCCAGATAATTTTCCTACATCGCAAATACTTTTCATATAGACAGATATATAAAATATGAATTGACTTGCATGTTTTAGAGAAATTAACAAATACATGTACAGATTTCTAAAAAAATTTTTTTTTGGAATGATTTGGTACACGAGCAAACCTGGACAGAAAGAAATTGAGAGCTATTTTTAAAAAAAATAAGATCACATTTTTGGGTCACCATGTATATCAAACAAAATGTACCTGTATCCATGAGATATTGTCCAGCCTCTATTCCTTCTTTGTCAGTAGTTGCCATACGGAATCTCTGCACATTGATGCCAGCATCTGCCATCAGCTTCTTGCTGTGGAACTCCTGTAGATTCAAGCATCTTACTGGCACAACTGAGGTGCAAGTCACCTAAAGCATAACCATAAACATTTTAAAGGGTATTCATCGTCATTGGTATCCCTAGATGATGTTTAAAGGAGGCCTGTTTATCAATGCATGGTAAGCGACTGAATAGGTCACTCTTATTCTAAGCAAAGAAAAAAAAATTATAAAAAAATAAAGTTGATTTTTTTCTATGCTTACAATAAGAAAATTTTAAGATGTCCCATGTCATATTGTTAAATATTCAATATTTTTAAATAATATGACATGGGACATCTTAAACTTTTCTGAAAATTAGAGGACCATGTTTGGTCAAGTGAAACCAGTCATCAAAACATTCTGAAAATTTTACACATCATCAATTTAATGGTCATCTTTTGGATGGTAACATTATAATTTGAAATATATTGATATACTCTTCTCTATATCGTTTTAGAAAACACATAAGACACGTCTTTTGTTTTTGGTATCATATGTTCGGAATGAAATGAAACATCTATCCGAACCTCATTGGAACGAAACGACATAAACACAACGTGTTTAGGTCTCTCAATATTGTAATTGTACAAAGGAACGTTTCGTTGATTTTAATAAAGTATCTTGTTAATGAAATAAAAGGTTTATCTCAATTTTCATCTATTTTGGGGGGTTTGTTTTAAGTTTTTGCATACTTTTTGTTAAATCGACCAAAATTTCCTTTGTATATCTATAATATTGAGAGGTCTAAAAAATGTTGTATTTGCTATTTTGTTCCAACAAGGATCGGAAAGGCCTTTAATTTCATTCTCTGTCTCAAGAATTGGTAGAAAGGAACAAAAAACAATTGCACTAAAAAACAAAAAATGTTAACAAAAACAGTTATATAAAATGTATATAAATAATTTTTGCATTAATTGTTGCCAATCAGTCAACATTACATAAAGGACCGTGTTTTTTTTACAGAATGTTTTCAATAATTGGTTTAAGAGAAAAACATTGTTGATTCCAGTTCACCATATCAATACCTATCCTTTGTAATTGTATAGACAATGTATGTGTGAGAGTCTAGGACTATATTCCTGGTACTGGATAAGGTCACAGTAGATGGCAAATGTTGACACAAGTTCCTGTGCAACACACTGATAACTAAAATGATGTATATATTAGAACTCTCCCCCCCCTAATTTGTCGATGTACCACACTTACACTTACTTCTTGGCAAACATAAAGAATGGACTGAATATGGAGCATTGGCATGGCAAATCCATTCATTGATTTGTTGAAGGGTTTAGTAACCCTTCCCTCACATGATAATGATTAAATTTAAGAATAAGGTGATGCCTGATGCTGGAATTTACCAAGGGGTTTCTATTTTTCCCCAGGCTGGGGGTTCGTCTAATAATGAAAGGGAGGTTTGGGGTGAAGGGAGTTCACGTGACGGAAACAGTTTCAACGAACCGATCAAATCATTGAATATAGTATGCACGTCATCAAATTACTGGTAAGCGTGTGATTCATTGTTTGTACAAAAATAGTTATCCATCCCTAATAGTGTACATTTCGTTCATGGCCTGGGATTCGTTGATCTTTCAGAAAAGGGGGTTGCTCCTGACCAGGGAGGTGCAAGGCGAATGGAGTAGAGGGGGGTTTGCACGAGCCTCACAAACCCCCTTTCGATACACGCATGTACATGTACGATATCCCATGAGCTTTCAATCAGGGATATCCCAAAGCTAACACATAAGGATGACAATGACATGTGTTCTGATGATAAACTGATTTTTTCCTATTCAGGAGTGTGTAATATAAAAACTCATTCCTATCTTGTTCTGTTATCTACAAATAATATCAGATGTTATAAAGGTCAATTTCAATACACAAGGTGAACCCAGTGGTTACAAACCCGGAAGTGGGTCAAAATATTGTGCATGGTTTTTTGATTAAAATCAACTCTGATTCCTTTGCAAAGTATGCATTAAGTTTGTATGTTAACTTCAAATTCGTGGTTCACAAGACAGCGCATTGACATCGATTTTTTTAATGCATTACCTGCTTTTGAAGGAGGTTTTGTAAAGGCTTTCGTAAATTTCGTCCAATGGCCGCCATTGTTACTGGGTCATGAATTGAAATAAAATGACAATTATTTATTGTAGGTTTTATTATTACAATCATCATATTATCAAATAAAAATCAAAGATGAAAAAACATTGTTTTATAATTTTATATTTAACATCTTGGTTCATTCTGCAGTAATATCAACATTAAAAGCTTCCATATTAAACGGTTGCTTGTCATTTCAATTAAGAAAAAGACCCCATGTACATTTGCCCCAGTATTGTATTCATTTTCCATGAAGCGCTTTGTTTACAGATTCAATGATATAAGTGAACTATATTATAAACAGGGCTTTAATTCATACAAAAGTCGCAACATATTTTAATCATCGGACTGTTTGAACATTTCATTTTCTCCAAAGTTCAAGGGTATTCAAGGGGTCTTCTAAGTGAATGAACTTACTTTTTGTAGCTGATTAATTTTTGTGATAAAGCGTCTGACCACCAAGTAAAATGGTAAGTAAAGTACTTTTTACTCAAAATAATATTTTTTTAAATATGCCATCACCAGATTCTCCAATTACCTGTCGTAGATTTCGAATATAAACTCTTAAATATACGGTTTCAAAAGTTTATATGTTCACAAAAATTCAAAAAAACTTGGGGCACTTGAATTAGTCCAACGTTGAAATTATTTGAATTCATTTCACCAAAATGGATTGCTCCATAATGGAGTTAATGGTCATGTGGGACGGGATATTTACCTGTATTGATTGGTTGAAGTTCTTTCATTTTCAAGCTGTAAAAATAGTCAAGTGAATTGTCACTATAGTTTGAATAATAAGAAATGTGACACACCCATTTACTTTTGTTTGATCAAGCATGATTCAATGAAGAATGTTGTATATGTAGTTAGAGTAGATTTCATGGCCTGACTTCGTCGGTAGAACTTGAAAAATAAGATTTACCTCAAGATTAGGAGTCTTACTTACCCTCTAGAGGTTAGAACACACATTTTAATGAAACTCTATCACCTTTGTTTCGTCAACTATAGAGCATTTAGCACAATATCCAAGAGGTAAATTATGGATCGTGAAAATGAATGATTTCCTTGTAAGTTCCGGAAGTTTCAATACGACAAATTACCGAACATTTGTGAAAATTGAATCTTTGTTCGTTGATTTTATAATTTACACATGCGTGTATTCGTCTACACTTTGGTCTAAATTATAAAGCATCACAAACAGGTCCTAGAATATTAATAGACTAATACAGCTGACGACCATTTCATACTTTCCGCGCAGCATTTCATTCAGACCAATAGTTCAACTGTAGATCATGCACTTTTTCTATCTTAGAACAGGCCATCCTCCTCTGCCCTGTCCTAAACTCGTCTGCAGAAGAGAGGCAAGAGACCACAAAACATTATTTTCAAATACTTTAATTATTTTTACATCAGACATGGTTGGATGATATGTCACAAAATTAAAGTTCAAGGTCAATACAGTATTTCGTGATAGAGGCAAAGCCATCCCGGAAGTAAACACGAGGAAAATGGAAAAGTCCAAAAAGCATTATCACAAATTTCAATCAAGTACTGTGCTTATGCTTCATCATGAACAAAACATAGCTGATATGGTTTCATTAAAATGAGTGTTCTAACCTCTAGACGGTAAGTAAGACTCCTAATCTTCAGATAAATCTTATTTTTCAAGTTCTACCGACGAAGTCAGGCCATGAAATCTACTCTAGTGTGAATATCCAGGTTATTTGAAGTGATATAAGTTATCCGTGAGAAACTAAATGTTTTTGACAAAATGCCCGTGAAAGATACATAAAGTGCTCACCATGAATAAATGACACCTGGATTTTCTATCACCATTTCCAGACCATGGTGATTTGAGACTTCATACTTTCCAATAATGTCTAGATCCACATCCCTCAAGTTTTGTATATTTTACATTTTGTGTTCTCTCATCCACTGATGTATAGCCTCTTGAAAATTCTATTCTTTTTAACATGGGAAATCCTCACTTCGGCAAATCCAGGTGTCATTTGTCTATGGTGAGCACTGTAGAATCAGGTACAATTTTGGGGAAAATTGATATGAACTATAGATCTAACTGCTATTTTGGAACAAATGATACAAGTTATCTTTTTGAAAAATTGAGATAACTGCTTGATATAACTGATGATTTTTTTTATTTTTATGTCACCACCACCACCACAAGTATATATATTGTTATAGGTCTCAAACTTTTTTGCAGTGGTAGTTGGTGTTCGAAGGTTCGTTTTCAGCGTCTGTAAATTGCAGGTGGTGACATTTTGCATCTTATGCATTGTTTCAAAAATGTCTCCAGTTAGATGTACATGTACCTTATATTTTCTGATCCTGTACACATTCTGTACCCAGGGGTGTTTCGGGAAACATGAGGCAAATTGTTATTTTGAAAATCTTCAAATAATTTGCTTCTTTTTGATTATTTTGCCCCATATTTTCTAGAAAAGGCCCAATTTTTCAAAAAAGGAGTTCAAGACTATGAAAATTAAGACCTTAAATAAGCACTTTATTTAGCATAAATTGAAAAAATGGAATTAAAAAAATTGATGTACAATGGATTAAACAGTCCTTCAACTACATTTCTTACATGTATATTGTATAGGTACATGAACACATTAATACAAGTCAGTATTCAATAAAATTAAGATAAAACATTATGCTTCAATTAAAAAGCGCAACATGTGGATGAGAAAATCAACTCTCAGACCCCAATAGCAACTTTTGTGTACACATGGTTGAAACAGTAGAACACAGATTTCTACTCTTTCCCCACTATAATGACCAATGTAATGTGATTTCAAAAGAATCGAAAGTAAAATTCCAACTACCCTGACTGAAACATTCTTTGCATCTTCACTTGCATGCAAACTGCAACAGATTTTAGGCGATGAAGAATCTTCACTTGCATGCAAACTGCAACAGATTTTAGGCGATGAAGAATCTTCACTTGCATGCAAACTGCAACAGATTTTAGGCGATGAAGCTCTTAGACATGGGGAGCAAGATTAAGGTTCAATATTTGACACAGCATCTAAAATGTTTTTACTTAAGATATTTAGTGTTTTTAGTCTTACATGCAAACCTATTTTATCCAGTAAAGATTTAGTGCAACTTTTTTAAGAACCTAAAAACGCAATTTTAGTTATATTGTGTTTTATTGTAAAGACACTCCTGTGAAAGTGTGCCACTGATACAAAAGTGTAGTTCTAAATAAATAAATAAATGAATAAAAAAAAAGTGGAAAAATGAATGCTTAAACCCAGGAATCTGGCTTGAATTAAAATATAATGTTCTACTTTTACCCGCCAATATCATAAAATGTATCTTTATCAATTCTTGTCTATAACCTTTAGGCATAGACTTGAACAAGCCCATGGTAAGGTTATCAGTCAATATTTCATCAGGTTTCAGTGTAATAAATAACTTTATCTAACAGCTAAAACAACAAACACTCAAAATCTCAATTTACTTTGAATTTTGTTGATTAGACTCTGAAACCATTTATGCAGAATGAACTTAACAAAATGACTTCTTCAATCTAATTTAATTTCCCTACATTTTGAAAATATACATTTTTACATAATAGGCCTACCCAATAGCTTTATAGTACATATAGTTCAGTTATAAAGAGATAGTGCCCCTTCGCAATATATCTGATAAATCCTAGTAGTTTATTACTTGGAAAAATAGCTCATTGCTTAACTTATAAATGTTACTTATGAAGTATACTTTATATGTACATGTATAATGTTATTAATATATAGCATACACAGTACAATCATGTTATTTATACACCATATACATTACATTATAGACTACGGCCCACTCTGATAATTGTAACTCCTTCCTTACATGAAAGGTTACACATTCCAACCTTTTTCAAACCATCTGTATGATGATACTAGACACTTTCTGGGTAGTTGGACTTTCTATAGGGGTGGCAGACGGCCCTCAGACCAATTTATACCCCTACCCCCAAAAAACCATGGGGGTACTTTAATACCACCCAATAAAAAGAATACTAATGCATGTCAGATATTCATTGTTTTATATTGGGTAGGGCATGTTATGATTAGTAAGTGCCAGAAATTTCCAATCTCTAACTGATATGGTTACCATAGAAACAGTATTTATATCTTGAAATATTCTCAATTTGACCCCCTCCCAAATGTGTCCTTTTGATCTCAAAGTGAAATATTTGCAAATCTGTTTGGATTTTATGGCTGCTACTTTGTCAAAAATTGTATCAATATGTATATTTTAACATTTAAACACTGAAAAGTGTTAATAATGATCCTATAAATCAATAATATTTATCAAATATAGTCACACATAGCTGCTTTTAGGGAAAAGTGGGCGTGGCACTTTTTGGTACGTGTGTACTTGTTGCAGCATTAAGTGAAAAATACATATTATACTAACAACAATTGACATTTAATTAGCATCTACTTATGTTATGTAACATTGTAATATGTTCATTATCATTATTAGACACTTTAAATATTTTATATCAGTGTTATCCTGACCCTTCCCTTTATCCCTACACCCTTCAAGGTGGGCATTACCAATCGTGTCAAGTTAACATTTTTACCATAGACAAGGTACAAAAGCTTTACCATGAGTACTGACCTTATTAGGTGCTAAACTGATGAATGGATAGGTAGATGGCAGCACTTGTGCTGGTTGGACTACACGCTAGCATCTACCATAGACACATATTGATTTACCATATTTGTTATTTTGGATTAAAGAAAAACTGCTTTCACATCAAACTCAATGAGATTCAGATTGTGTTTGAAACTAGATGATCTTCAGATTTTGTGTGAACCTTAAATTCATGACAATCAAAAGAATTCAACATTTAGGAAGTCAACATTAAGATTTTTAACATCGTCTCAATGAGAATTTAGCCCGACCTTTTTCAGAAAGTTAAAGATCATAGAAAATTGAACATAATCAAAGTTCCTCAGTAGAACATTTAATCTCCTAAAATCACATTAAAACTATATCAGCAATATTTCCAAGCTAAATAGTATAAAAACTTCTATCACATCATTTGCAACGTTTTCATTATTCGATAGTTCAACCCTATTATAGCATATTTATTTTTTTAAATCATACTGTCTTGTTACTTATACAGTACAGTATGTACAGAGCCATGTTATTTGTGAAATAATGATTTAGTACTGAGCATTGGGACCTACACAGTCTACACGGAGCGGTAGCCAAACTGCTTGCCTACTATGCACGCAGTTTGAAAGACTGACAAACTGCGCGCCTATCAACATTGCATCATACAAGTTGGAGTCTGTGTTTTCAAACGTCATTTTAAGACATTTATTCTGAATTGTTTTATAGTTTCACACGTCCATTCGGTGGCGATTATATGATTCAGCCATGTGATAGCGAAATGTATGTCCAGATGAACGTTGGTTTAAAAATATAAGCAGATTAATACAAAAAATTGGCATCGATTTTTGGATTATCGATACAAAAGTTGATATCGCACGTTTCACAGAAATAGAAAACACTTGGGTTTTGATTCACAGGTAAATCTCAACCCAGTTCTCCCGTACAATACAAAATATTTCGTATTAAAACAGATGAACATGACAGAAAGAAGTAATAAAACACAAACTGCGCGCCTATTTTAGCCAGAAATCACAAACTGCGTGCATACTCTTCCAAACTGCGTGCATATTATTGATACAGGCCTATGTGATTTCATGGGAGTACGTAAGTAAGCTGCTGGTAGAGATTGAAAAAGTTGAAAAAAATCAAAAACTAAAATTGGGTTGATGGTTGACAACCATTTGAAATGTACATATTTATATATTTTATTTTGTTCTTGTCTATATGATTTTATAAAAGTATGGCGCAATGATTCAACTTCATCATATAGAGTTGAGTTCAAAAATCTCATGAAAATGGTTTTATTCTATTGGGGTCCTTCTAAAAGACACACAGGAGGCCCCCGCCTGGTCCCAATTGAAGTGCCGAACTTGCCTATTTTATTACTTTATTTCAAACTAACACTATTTCATGCATGGTGCAACATAAATAAATACGTTCATAAAAATTGTGTAAATATATATATTGAATCCTTTTTTATTTAGATTTTTGATTGATGCAGTCCAAAAAGCCATTTCTTAGAATTCAATGAATTCCTCATTATAAAATACTATATCAATTTACAGTTTTAGGAACATATAAGTAAGAAAATGATATTTACAACAATCTCACTCTTTCGACTTGAAACTTTGTTTATTACCCACGTTACCATAAATAAGTGACCACGCATGCATAACGAGCAAAATTCAGTAATTCAAAACTTTTTCACTTAAATCTTTGAATTTTTGGGGATACAATCGTTTCGAGTCTATTCTATAGCATCTGCCAAAGGAAGTAATACTTGAATGTTCCGACTGCAGTACATGTATATTATACGAGCCTGATAAATCGGTAATTTCAAGGGGGATTGAATTTGTTGAGATGAGGGTAAGGAAATTGAGGAAGGGTTGACACAATGTACTATTTCTTTTAAGGTTTGAGAGGACATCGGGCAAGAGGTTTTCACAGTCTTTTAATTTCAAAATGAGTCACTGGTACCTTTAAATAATCGCCCCTTTAGTTTCTTGATTGGTTTCATTTTCTTCATTGGTGCGTGTGGAAATAACATCTTGTTTAATTCTGGTTTCATGGTTTTTGAAGATGCGCTGTTGTTATCTACATCTTTGTTAGGGACAGACTTTGTTTTTTTTTATATATGGACAGGTTTAGTGAGAGGGGTTTACGTTTTCTGAAAATACACAACAAACTTGCACACAGCTTGCAAATTAGGCGCGCAGTTTGAAAATATAGGCGCGCAGTTTGTAAGTATTAGGCACGCAGTTTGTGAAATCCACGTGAAAGTATGCACGCAGTTTGACAGCGAAAAAAATAAAATCACGTTAATGGCTTGTCACTGTTTAACACACAAACCCTATATTACTTAAACCATTAGCAGCAATCCTATATCTTTCAGTATATGCAAACATGAGGGCTGAATAAACGTCAAACTACGAAAAACAGACATTATATGACGCAACACTGTATAATTTGAACACGAAAGCTCATTGGGAACCTTATTTTGAGATAACTAGATATTCATCGGGAAAAAAATCGAGTGCTACGTATAAAGTAACTTAGTCTCCACATCTTGGTACTGTCTGATAACCAAAATTGACTTTGTATTGTCAGTAATTTCCATCCTCTTGGGAGTCGTGTCCTCCCTGTCTGCCATTTTGTGAATAGGCGCGCAGTTTGTCAATGTTCCAAACTGCGTGCATAGTAGGCGCGCAGTTTGCCTACCGCTCCGTGGTCTACATGTATAAAAATAGTCTATCTTTAAAGGTCTAATATGGAGGCATGCAAAATAACACCATTCTAAATTTATTGTCACTTTTCAACTGTAGATTTTTCACCAAGCCATTTTATATTATGTTTAGGCAGTTTCTTTCTTAATTATAGTTGTATTGTATCATTTAAATAATTAATGTAACACATTGTGGCATAGAGCTGGTAATCATGTTCATGAAATGAACGGTATAGATTTTCTGACCTTTTAAAAAACTGTATTCTGTGACATATTGTTGTGGTCTCCAACATTTTTGTAGCAGTGGTTGGTGTCTGGCAGTTGGCATTTGGTGTCTGTAACAAATGGCAGGTAGAGTGGTGACATTTTGCATTTTAATGCCCTAAAAATTGGATGATAATGAATAAAGAGTGAAAACACAAAGATATTAAGACCAGAAAGGTTGAATATTTCTGATGGGTGAATTTCTAAATCGCTCTTGAAAGAGAAAAATTCAGGATCTCCATTCTGTTTTTTATATATTTATATATAAGAGAAATTTGTAAAAGAGGAGGGAGGGTAAAGGACTTAATTCTAGAGAGTCTCTACAAACTTGTTAAAATGACACAGTATTCATATTTGCAATTTTGGAAATTATATTTAGCAGCTTAGAGGGTTGCAGTGCCTCAAGGCAGTAAAAGGTGTTTAAGTCCTTCATTTCATTTCAGTTATAACAATGAGGCAAATTATTGTTTGATTGATATGAAGTTGGTCGAAATTAAAAAATGTAACAGTCTAATGGTAAATTAGACTTATTCAAAGTGACAATATAAGAGAATGACTATAACTAATGTAATGATTTTGTGACAGGTTTTTGAAGGTTATTGTTCTATTTATTCCGTAAATGATGTACATCTTTTAATAGGTGTAATGGTATCAGTTTTTTTTTACTTCATTTCCAATATTAAAAATCTTTCAACTTTTTCAGAAAATTGTCAAATCTGATTGACTGTTAAACTGTTAAAGAAGAAAGTAATTTGAGCTTTGAAAAATACTCTTTATGGAAGAGTAGATGTAGTTAATTTTTCTGAATAACATACATTTTGTTAGTGACAATTATAGCGATACAGAACCCTGAACCATGAGTTTTTTCAGAGCTCTCAAGTCAAACTAATCAAGGGGATGTAGGATTTGAGTGAAACAGTTCATTCAATGGTTGGTTTATTGACTCCTTAATACACGGTAGTATGCTATATTTAAATGGTAATAAATGTTTTCTTTTTTATATTTTCAGGCAAAATTATCTGAGGCACAAATATCTGGTAAGTGTATTTATAAAACACACCATGTGTGGACTTTCAATTGATTCTAATTCTAAGGCAATTAAAACTCAAAAGAAACACAGCAGTTAGTTTTATTAAAAACAAAATATATTTTGTACTATTAATGTTGGACTTTGTTGACAACAAATTGTTTGATTAAATATTACAAGATTTAGTGAACCTCAGCTTTAACGCCTCTGTATTCTGTATAATGATTTTTGAATCAATTATCAGGAAATATACTGGCAATACCTAGTTGCCAGTAATGGGCCAAATAACATACCCTGAATTCCCCTAAATTTGAAAAGTAATTTGATTGAGAGAATCAGTTTTCATCTAACGATTTTGAATTTGATGATAATTATACAATTTCAAATACATGTAAATAGGTTCGTTAAAAGAAAAAATTATTTACTCTCCTGGATATGCCCATGAATTTGCAATACCTTTTAAGACGTGCCTTGTTTACCCTTAAATTGGTGCACATTTCAGACTTCAAAGAGGCATTCACATTGTTTGACAGAGATGGTGATGGCAAAATCTCTGTGAATGAACTTGGAACTGTAATGAGAAGTCTAGGACAGAACCCAACTGAGAGAGAAGTTGGGGAGATTATGAAAGGACAGGGACTTAGAAGTAAGTGTTTAAGTAAAAGATCTAGTTTAAAGTGCTTATATTGGAGCCATGCTCAGTCACCCTGGGTATAGTCTGTCACGTGACTTCATGGATGACGTGTGCGCGAGTGATTCGCATTTTCTTTCGCTTGAGGTTTGTAATCACACTTTTTACATGTTTTAAGATTTTGTATCTCTGTGAAACTTGTCCCGTACCATCAATGTCTGAAGACGATCTAATTCACCAAATATCTCATCCAAGCGTGTCCCGGTTAAAGAGAAATTCGCACTTTTGTGTCTCGCAAAATGACGTGTGCGCGAGTAAATCGAATTTTACGAAGGATGGGTGCGCGAGTCTAAAATATTTTTATTCACTGAGACAATTCTGCAAGCTAAGGCAGAATACAACTCACGTGACATTTGTTTTTGTCATCTTAAAGTAGTATGTTAAAGAATAGTTTGCTATTTTGTAGATGTTTCATGTATGGCACATACATGTCTACGTTTAATGACAATAAATGTTTTGAAATATCTTGTAGGGCTGTCCGGCATTGCAGGTGAATTAAAATTTGAACCAAAAATTGAATTAAATTTTTGGCGGTCTCATAAAACCGGCAGCATATTCATTTATTGACATCCCATACAAGGGGGGGGGGGTCAGAGTTGTTATGTGGTTACTCGGCATCCGCCACGATCAGAACCATGTAAGGAATAGTAAGGGGAAGCCCATGATACCAAGTAATATCAAATAATTATAGGAGCTTCTAACTTCTTCCGCATCCCCACCCTTGGTATATGCAGCTGACGAAATGGACCGGTATGGGTCAAAAGCTGGACCTGTACGGGTGAACTTTGGGGGTACTTAAAATCATTCGGAGGGATCATATATTTCAACTTAGATACGAAGAAGTCAATATTGAGCAAGTTATAGCTGTTTTAAATTCAAATAAAACCGTTAACCCGTACCGGTCCAGCTTTTGACCCGTACCGATCCATTTTGTCAGCTGCGTAAACCACGGGGTGGGGATGCGGAAGAAGTTAGAAGCTCCTATAATTATTTGATATTACTTGGTATCATGGGCTTCCCCTTACCCTACTATCACACCAAACTAGTTCTCACTACGTTCTCGAAAACGGGCTTCAACTGTGTACGAACGGACTGGACCTACTAAGAACCGTTTGGGATCTATTTACAAACTTCATCAAACGTACTCGAACGGGAAGGTCCTCTAGAACTTAGACAATGCTCAAAATGTTCTCGTGGTCGTCACGTTCTACAATTAGAACGAGTGACAACGTACTAACGACGAACTGGACGTACTACGAACGGAACCGTCGTACTTCAATCCTACTAGGGACGTTTTAACAACGAGTTGAACTGTCTGAGGACGTGTTGAGAACGAGGTAGAACTAATTGCAAACGGGTTTAAACTGATTAAGAATGTATTTAACACTGCTTATGAACGAGATAGCAAAAATATAGCTATCACACCAAACAAGTTGCCACTGCGTTCTTCAAAACTGGTTTTAAACTGTGTGCGAACGAAATGAACGTAGCTGCAACTTTCTAAGATCTATTTACGAACTTTATGAACGTTCTCAGACGGGAATGTGATTTTAGAATTTTGAATCGATTCAAAATTCGATAGCGACCATACCGTTCTGTAATCAGGTCATGTTGACCTTCTAGACTAAGGGACGCGTTCTACGACGCTGCACACCGACGTGGTGCGACCTGAACGAACTGCGAACGAGATGGACGTATTGAAGACTGTTTAAGAACGAAGAAGCTAATTATTTCAGACATATTTCCCGACCACAGCCAGATTGAGCCCGTTTTACGACGTTTTCGTAGGACTGGCAAGAACGGGTAAGAACTAGTTTGGTGTGATAGGGGGGTTACTATTCCTTACATGGTTCTGATCGTGGTGGATGCCGAGTAACCACATAACAACTCTGACCCCCCCCCCCCCCCCCTTGTATGGGATGTCAATAAATGAATATGCTGCCGGTTTTATGAGACCGCCAAAAATTTAATTAATTTTTGGTTCAAATTTTAATTCACCTGCAATGCCGAACAGCCCTACAAGCTATTTCAAAACATTTATTGTCATTAAACGTAGACATGTATGTGCCATATATGAAACATCTACAAAATAGCAAACTATTCTTTAACATACTACTTTAAGATGACAAAAACAAATGTCACGTGAGTTGTATTCTGCCTTAGCTTGCAGAATTGTCTCAAGTGAATAAAAATATTTTAGACTCGCGCACCCATCCTTCGTAAAATTCGATTTACTCGCGCACACGTCATTTTGCGAGACACAAAAGTGCGAATTTCTCTTTAACCGGGACACGCTTGGATGAGATATTTGGTGAATTAGATCGTCTTCAGACATTGATGGTACGGGACAAGTTTCACAGAGATACAAAATCTTAAAACATGTAAAAAGTGTGATTACAAACCTCAAGCGAAAGAAAATGCGAATCACTCGCGCACACGTCATCCATGAAGTCACGTGACAGACTATACCCAGGGTGTCAGTGTTGTCTATCCTTTTTTATGTCACCAGTAGATTGATTGGTAGATTGTGTTAGGCCTTATTTAATTTCTTTAGCTGCAATCTTCCTATGAGATCTATTGAAAAAGCAAACTGTTACCAGTGTGCAAGACAAGAAGTCACCTGTCAACATCACCAGTATGCAAAACTTTGGCTGCAAATCAATGAATACTTAAAGGTGTCATCATCATGTATATGCTGTTGTCATTGAGTAAATGAATACTTAAATATTAACAAAAAATATAAAAGATACAGCATGCACATGGAGGGCATCCCTTGTAGAGGAATTAAATGTTTAATATGTGCCTTTTTAATATATCTCAAACCCCAGAAGCAGTTTAACAATGAATAAAAGGCCCAATATATTCATATTTTCCCATACTGTGATTGTATTCATTAAGTAATGTACATTTACTCAAATACAAGATATTTTACGAGTATTTACTATGTTGACACATCAAATCTCTCTCCACATGACCTTTTACACACTTTATTTTTGTAAAATTTTAACTCATTAAAAACCATATACATTTCATGATGATAATGTCATTTATGTACAGTACTTAGTATCTATTACAGCTGGAGCATATCAATCCTGACTGGTTGATTTATTGCAAAAAATTTTTTTTCAAAACATTATTTACAATAAGTTTTTTTCATCGTGAAAATGTAAAATATTATTGCAAGTACCAAGAATATTACTGTAGGTAGTGTAGACTTTAAAGAGTTAACTTTATTATTACAGGTAGTGTAGACTTTAAAGAGTTAACTTTATTATTACAGGTACTGTAGACTTTAAAGAGTTAACTTTATTATTACAGGTAGTGTAGACTTTAAAGAGTTAACTTTATTATTACAGGTACTGTAGACTTTAAAGAGTTCCTACAGGCCATGGCAACTAAAATGAGAGGACACCAAGAGACTGAGGAAGAAATTCGTGAAGCATTCCGAGTGTTTGACAAAGATGGCAATGGCTTCGTAGCTGCTGCTGAGCTTAGACACGTCATGACAAATCTCGGTGAAAAATTAACGGAAGAGGAAGTAGATGAGATGATCAGAGAAATTGATATTGATGGCGATGGCCAAATAAATTATGAAGGTAAGGTTAATATAGACTTTATTTTACGATCTTGAAAAATACTCGTGTGTCCTGCTTAATGGTCCATAGATATCCAAGGACCAAGTCTTACTGAATATTATTAACCAAAATTCCTCTCAACATCTGATCGGACACAAATTATGAAAAAGTGTCAACCTAAAAACAAGTTACACTCTCAAAACCAGGAAGTTATATGTAGTAAGTGAATCTCAATAATAGATGAGAAATAGTCATATACATTGAAAATCTAAATAAAATTTCTTTTATTTCAGAATTTGTTAAAGTGCTAATGGCCAAAGAGATGTAATTAGGACTTCATAAACAGGATACAGAGAGGATATATTGTCATCATCGTGTATATAATCATTCTCCAGTACAGTATATGCAACAGCTGTTCAATATGATAGAGTAGAGAAAACCAGGCAATACAATAACAGTAGATGTACAGACAAACCAAACATCTGGAGTCGCAATTACACATTACAGTGCTGATCAAGGCAAATTATCTTACAATGATGAACACAACACCTTTATTGATGTTTACTTAATAGAACAGGAAAAAGTACAGTGCATATATTTTTCAATAATTCAACAGTGGATACAGTTCAGAAGAAAATATGTGAACTAAATAACAGCAACACCAAGACTTAAGCTTAGCAAATCCCATCGAACAGTCATGGTAAAAATGACCACCATTTTTCAAACTGGCTGCTCACTAGCCAAATTGTCATTTGAAAGTGTACTATGCTTCTAAGGAGGCACAACTAATTTCAAATGAATTGTTCTACTACTTTTTGAGTTCTAGTAAAAAAACGAAAAATTACACATGAAAAATGGTGGTCATTTTCAAAATGGTTGCTTCTAAGCCAAAGTGTCATAAGACAGTGTGTCATACTCATGAGTATCCATATATCAATATGAACAAAAGAATCGCTTTTCGAGTACTTGACTTCGTTCGATGGGATAGAACTGGAATGATGCAATTCAACTATGGTACTTAAAAACATGTTGTCACATTAATGACAAATAGTATGAAAATATTGATAATGCAAAATGCAGGACTTCGAACAATGGATGTGCATGAAGTTTCGATTCTATGTACATTAAAACATAAAGAACAAACATTTCAGTCAAGCTCCATACATAACATACATTCAAAACATTTCATATTTTTGTTTATAGGGTATCTGACCAGAAAATGAACATATTGATCTTTCATGAAAACCCAGCAAGCTTTCACATTACATCTGGTGTGTCATGGCGGATTGACCAATCAGTGCAAGCTTTTACATTACATATGGTGTGTCATAACACATAGACCAATCAGTGTGATTGACATTGTTACCACCTTGCCCGGACCTGTGATAGGGGAATTAGTGCTAGTTTAGAAGGCTTTTATTTTACCATATTGATCTGAGCCATATGCGACGTCATAGTGGCGGGACAATATTGGATTAACAGCTCGGCAATGTTTTCCAGGAAATTAGATATCGTTAAGTGCGTATAATTTTCGTTCAGTGGCAGTCCGTTCTTGCTATTTCAGCCCTGGGCATATTAACAGTGGTAATAATACTAATAACATAATTTCTTCGGGCAAAATAGTGTAATATTGGATCTTTGGCCTTCGGCATTTGGTCCAATATTTCCCTATATTGCCCTTTGAAATGATGTTATTGTAGCAGCTTATTGCAATTATTTCTTTTTTGTTCAGATTTTTAAAATGCAGAATGTAGTAAGTTGGTTGTAGATTGTAGACATCAGGTGCTATTCACATTCCATTCATATAATTGAATAAATGAAACAACCAATTTGGTACGATTGAAACATACATACGACATCCAAGAATACTAAACTGCTAGATGTTGTGGGGATGTGAAGTGTGGTTAACACATAGGGCACATTTATAATGTAGATGAATCACAAAATTTCCAATCAATCTCGAAATGCATCATATTTTCCCATATTTAGACATCTCTAGTTGAATTATTTCTGATTTAGTTAATTGTTGTGGAATATGTAAGTCAAAATGGTATGTTTATATTGAAATTGATATACAGATTAAAGTTGATAAATAGGGAAAGTGGAGTTTTACTACAGTGTGTCTCAAAAAAAATGTTACACTTACAAAAAGTTCAATATCTTTCATGATTTTGACTTTTTCCCTAAAACATACTTGGATACTAAAAGTTCAGCCTTTCTTGAATAAATCCACACCATCTGATTCAAAATCCGTCCATGATTGGCTGCACAGGACTGATTTTATAGACGCATGTGAAGTTTGATTTGCGCCAATTTCTCATTGGTTGGACAGGTGGTGGTCAATTCTTTTTTGGTGTGAATGCTGTGGACAGTGATATCTTGATATGATCAATGATTCAGTTGTTTTTTTCCTGGATAGAAATACAACATGTCATTGTCAAAGGTTCAATTTCTTTACGTATGATGGCAACAGGATGGTGCAAACGCCTGTGGCAGATCGTTTGGTAGAACTCTTTGGAAATCAGAAGATAGCATTGAATTACCCAGTTGATTGGCCCCCAGGGTCATCCTACTTTACACCCTTGATTTTTTGAAGGGCCTCTGAAAGCGCTTTACAGCATCACAAACTAACCTAAATGAACTTCTACAAAATTAATTGATGGAATCAGTATGATATTACAATGCATGTTCGCATGGGCAAGGGTACCTCAGATCCTCAGATTTGCTGTCACATTCAACTTGTTGGGGGGACCACATGTTTATGTGGATAGACCCAATGACCATATGTAAGACAAATAGGAAAATTACAGAATGACTCAGTTAAAGGTCAAGCTTCTGCTCAGAAGAAAGTTAACTGTTAAAGAAACTGTTCCTCTTTTGTCATTTGGTCCATCCAATCAATTAGAAGTTGGCGCAAGTCTGATTTTACTATGGGACACTAAAAGCTGTCCTGTCAAGCCAATCAAGGACAGATTTTGAATCCGATGGTGTCAAATTATTCGGGAAAGATTTGTCTTTTGGTATCCAAAGTATATTTTAGGGGGAAAGTCAAAATCATGAAAGATATTGAACTTTTTGTAAGTGTAACATTTTTTTTGAGACACTCTGTAGTACAAGTAAGCTCTTTAGTTAGAGTTGATTTCATGGGACAGAACTGCAAAAATTTATTTGACAATTGTGCAATTGCCATCTTCATGTTAAAATTGATTGTAAAATTGTTTGTACATGTATACATGTATGTAGGTCATTGCCTCAAACTAAAGTTTCATACGTCAAGATCTTTTCATAGAATATAGATTTTATATTCAATTGGGTGTTAAAGGTGAATAAAAAATATATATAACTTATTTTTTATCTTAAAAAATGTTTGTTTATTTATATGCACTAAATACAATGTATCATCAATACCATTTCTTATAAAATGTCGCCAACAATATCTTTGAGGCAGACAGTTTTAGTTGCAATTCTTCAAAGTCCATTTTGTGAAAATTTAAAGACACTCAGTGCAGAACTCATAAAATTCCAGCACCAGTCCTGTTACTTTTGGAACACCCTATAGTTTTTGAATAACCAGTATCATACCATTCTGATACTCCATTCTGACCACCCCTGCCTCATAAAAAGTAGAGGAAACTGATAGGAGACTGAAATCTTACTATGGTATCATACTGGTTAAAATAACAGTAAATGTCAACTAGCCATTCGAAAATAACAGGTGCCACATAATGTTGCATGACTTTTTGTCTGCGTGATTTCTGACTTATTCTTTAGCACATTAAAATGACTCCATGGAGCAACTCAACAAGAGGTTTCAGATGACTGGCTCAATTTGATGCATTTTTATGAGAGTTATAAGATGTGCTCTAAATGTCAAGCCCACCTGGGGTCAATGGGGAAAGTTGTTGACGACATTCCCCCACAGAAATGGCCCTCATTTTTCTGGTGATCTCTATCTTCAGGTGTTCTATGGTTTGGGGGATAAAAATCTGGAGGCTTTATATCAGGCAAATGTGGTCAATAACTGGAAACCAAAAGTGGGCCTGCAATGGAATGGACAACATTTAGAGCACATATTGTGATGGTTATAAAAGTGCACCTAGTTAATTGGGCTAGTCATCTGAAATTTCTTGTGGAGTTGCTCAGTAAGACCTTTCCAATAAAGAAACCAATAACCATGACCTCATTGTTGGTCCACAAAAGAAATGGATCTTGTAGCTTTTAAAAATATTTTAATGATAAAATAACAAGTACATCGTAACAAAAGTCACCAATGGTATTTGAGAGTCAAAACAGGGTGACCCCAAAAAACAGAACCATCTAAAAGTTAAATAAGTCATTCAGTCATACCAAAAGATGGCTTAAAGGCTGCTAGGACATTTCCTCATTAATGATCTGAACCCCTATACTCACAGTATTTTATAATGTAGATGAATCATGTAATTTTCAATCAATCTCGAAATGCATCTCATATTTAGACATCTCTAGTTTAATTATTTCTGATTTAGTTAATTGTTGTGGAATATGTAAGTCAAAATGGTATGTTTATATTGAAATTGATATACAGATTAAAGTTGACAAATAGGGAAAGTGGAGTTTTACTAGTACAAGTAAGCTCTTCCATGTCTAGTGTTGATTTCATGGGACAGAACTGCAAAAATTAATTTGACAATTGTGCAATTGCTATCTTCATGTTAAAATTGATTGTAAAATTGTTTGTACATGTATACATGTATGTAGGTCATTGCCTCAAACTATAGTTTCATACGTCAAGATCTTTTCATAGAATATAGATTTTATATTCAATTGGGTGTTAAAGGTGAATAAAAAATATATATAACTTATTTTTTATCATAAATAACGTTTGTTTATTTATATGCACTAAGTACAATGTATTTACATACAAGTAATCAATACCATTTCTTATAAAATATTGCCAACAATATCTACGAGGCAAAATGAGACAGTTTTAGTTGCAGTTCTTCAAAGTCCATTTTGTGAAAAGACACTCAGTGCAGAACTCACAAAATTCCAGCACCAGTTCTGTTACTTTTGGAACATCCTGTAGTTTCTGAATAACCAGTATCATACCATTCTGATACTCAGACCTTGTAAAAAGTAGAGGAAACTGATAGGGAGGCTGTGAAATCTCACTATGGCATCATAATTTTTATTAAAATAACAGTAAATGTCAACTAACCATTCGAATATAACAGGTGCCACATAATGTTGCATGACTTTTTGTCTGCATGATTTGTGACTTGTTCTTAAGCACATTAAAATGACTCCATGGAGCAACTCCACAGGAGGTTTCAGATGACTGGCTCAATTTGTTGCATTTTTTATGAGAGTTATAAGACGTGCTCTAAATGTCAAGCCCACCTGGGGTCAATGGGGAAAGTTGTTGACGACATTCCCCCACAGAAATGGCCCTCATTTTTCTGGTGATCTCTATCTTCAGGTGTTCTATGGTTTGGGGGATAAAAATCTGGAGGCTTTATATCAGGCGAATATGGTCAATAACTGGAAACCAAAAGTGGGCCTGCAATGGAATGGACAACATTTAGAGCACATAT